AATCCTTTCTTCTCCATTCCTGTTTTTCTGTCTCGTTATTTTCATGTATGTCTGTGGATTTCAAGCGAATGCGCATAGAGATTCAGTAGAAGCTTCTGCTCCTGGCATGACTTCCTGCCTCAGGCAGATCAGCTGAACTGATTTCATTACTCACAGACCCCCCTGAAAGAAGGAAAATAGGAGCACAAAGTAAATGAGGGAAAAATAGGTAGAGGGCATAAGGGAGGCTTAAGGGAGGCATGCAAAAAGGAAAAAAAATAGAGGGAATATTTTGTAAATAATAAGGAGGAAGTGAGGTGATTTTGCACCTCCCATGGGTGTGAGATGTACTTCAAAATTTTTATCCTTCCTCCTACAGCAAAAAAATAAAAATAAACAAACCGAGAAAAAAAAAAACTGAAGCAGGAACACATACAAACACACACTCAACCACAGCGGCAAACTCCTGGAGGCGTAGGCAGACTAGACGAGAATTGATCTCTCCCACGAGGAGAGGTTTGTGAACGGAGGGAGAAATGGAGAAAGACGTCGAATTGTTTTTAACCGTGTATGGCTCTTGGGCCTGTAGGCCCCTCATCACTCTCACTCCCTCCTCTGTCACTCCCAGCGGCATGTTTCTCTTTATCTCCCCATCTCTCCCTCCATCAATCTCCATCTGCCATCCTCCTCCCTGTAGGCCCCAGACCCTTCCTCTTCACTGCTGCCTCCCTTTATCCCTGCCTGCACCCTTTCCTCTGTTTTAGGTGTGTTTCATCTCTGTAGACAGCAGGAGGACAGGGGGTGACTCGAAATTAAATACAAACTCTTACAAAAAGGCAGAATGAGTGAAGATTAGAAAACCAAAAGGCTAGAAATGAGAAAAAACAAGTGAAAGATTATGGAAATTGTAAAAAAAAAACATGGTTTATTGATACATTAGCACCGTTATCCAATTGAATAGTCAATGATGATCAAATATGCGCTTCTCATTAATCGAATCACTTGAATAAAACTTCTGCATCAGTTTCCTGGCACTTACCCAGTATTTGACAATTGTTATATAACTAAAGTTGGTTAACTCTAGAAGCTTGTCCATGTACAGCTCTGACCTGTAGAGTATAATAGCTCGCCAGTTCTGATCTACCTTTAGCATCATTCTCATGATGAAACATGTAATTACCTACAAAATGTAATTGTTTAGCCATTGGTTTGAGCTAAAACTAAAGGATAATAGAGGTAAACCATTGTCCTCATTATTGTGTCTACTTAGAAAGTTCCTCTTCATTATCTTACCATCATCAAATTTTACAAATGGACGCTTTCTCTGGAATGAAAGATGTTGATTCATCATAACATTTTTTTTTTTTGTATTTCTGGCACAACTGCTGAATATAAGTCTTATTTAAACATGAATCTATTTAGAATTTTTGTTTTAGAAGCAAAAAATTGGTCAACCTTGAATTATCTGTGGGCTGCTCAGTGGCGCAGTGGGTAGCACTGCTGCCTTGCAGCAAGAAGGTTCTGGGTCTTTCTGCATGGAGTTTGCATGTTCTCCCTGAGCATGCATGGGTTTTCTCCGGGTACTCCGGCTTCCTCCCACAGGCCAAAAACATGACTGTTAGGTGAATTGGCTTCTCTAAATTGTCCTTAGGTGTGAGTGTGTGCGTGAATGGTTATTTGTCCTGTGTGTCTCTGTGTTGCCCTGCGATGGACTAGCGACCTGTCCAGGGTGTACCCTGCCTCTCACCCATTGACTGCTGGAGATGTTAATGTTCATGTTAATGTTAAACTTGCTTTACTTGAAAGAGAACATTGAAAGAGAGACCTTCCAGGAGCCTCCAGTTTACAGTATGGTTTTAGTACTGGGTGGTGTCCATGGTGATCCTAAATGATGCATTATGGCTGTCTTATTTCACAAGACAGCCATAATTTAGGTCAGATAGATTCAAATAAAAGTTTCAACAATAAAACTAATTTCTAAATACACATTAACATAGTTTTTGGAATAAATAAATGTAATGGCACGGATATCAATTATGGCTGGACTATTAATTACATTCACAATATAATCATGGCCACACAGAAGGGAAGAAACATTTGCTGCTAGCCTGCAGAAGTAAGAAGCTAGAAGCAAGATGTTTTCCACACAGTATTGAAATCTGTGATAATGGATTTTGAATAAGAGACCATTTTAAGCCTTGAAAGCTACAATGCAAAGCAGTATGGAAACGTATTACTGGTGTGGACCAATAAAAAACCAAATCAATAGAACAAAAACAACAAAAATCAACATACATCTTGTTTAATATCCAATGCGTAGTATGTGTTTACTGTGATTTCATGAAAAATTTGATAAAACTAACAGAGAAACCTTTCAGTACCTTTGGCATATGGCAAAATGACTTAAAGTGACTGCTCATAAATGTGTAACTGCTTAACAATATATGAAAGGAAGCTTCTGTTTTGAGGCTGCCAGATTCATAATGTTTTTTGTTGTTTTTTTGTATGTAATGATGAGACATTAATAGGATAATAAAAATGAAGAAATGAAAGATGGCATTAGTTTCCTTTATGTTGTTTCTTGACTAGATTCTTTATATTTATGTGCTCTAGGCTGCTTTTCTTTGTCTTCATTTGTAGCAGTCTCTCAGTTTCTTACTCCCCTCCCTCCCGATCACCCCCTTCATGCTCTGTCTTTCTTTCTTTAGGCATGTTGTGACAAGGGTGTAGCAGCGTGTTACACAGGGCTCCACTTGCCAAGTGCATATTATCCTGTAAGGCATAATACCCAGGTCTGAACAAAAGGGCAGGCTTTGAAATTACAGCTTGCGTTGCTTAGCACTCAGCACAACAGACTGACTCAAATGAAAACACGTGTGTGTGAACTTTATGTTTGTAAATGCTTTAGCTGACACTCATATATGTCAGTAGATTAAGGTAAAAATTATACCTGAATAATGCATATACATTCAAGGCATCCCTCACAACTAGTCTGTACTCACAACAGAAATAATATTAAACCAAATGCATACTAATGCTTACTTGTACAAAATTCTTTGAATTGTTACAAATGTTTTGAATTGAAAAACATATAAACAAAAACTGAAAATCTTACCTTGACATGCGTTGACAAGTACATCAAAAATTTAGTATTATGACTTAAAAGCAACTTAATGAAGGCTGCTAAACTTTTTCCTATCTTCCAAGAAAGAAAAAAAACTTAGCCACCAGTGCCCAGAAGCATAGGCAATGGTAGCATAGAAACTACAAAATGCCACTCGTCTATTCAAAATAATGTGATGTTGTTTAAAGAAAGTTTGAAAAGCAAGTATGGGCTCAGCTTTACTGTAATCAATTCTGCTTGCTCTCTCCATCTCTTTGACTTGAAAATCAGCGCAGAGTTTATCTGCTTAATAGATTTTTTCCTAAACAGAGTCACTTATGAAACCATTTTTTATCATTACCTTCTCTAACAACTAAAGTATTTATTGATCACTGCCTCTATGTTCCTTTTCTGTATTTGCTTCTGTCAGTCATTCTAAGTAAACTGTTGCTCTTATTGAGTCTGGTTTGGCTGAATGCTTCTTCTGAATGTGTGTGTGTGTGTGTCCGTGTGGTGGGGGGGTGATTATGTGTGGCAGGTAGCCAGTTAAATGTTCTGTGTTTTCATAAATCTTTAGTCAAAGCTTTGCAGCCATAGAATCCATTGACTGTTGTTGCTCCCAGGAATCAAAAACAAGTTGTGTTATTGATCATTCTTTCACACCGAACATCCACACACACATAAACAATGAATATAAGAAATATGTGCTGTTTTCAGTGCTTAACCGGTTACTTTGAGTTGTGTACATAACAAAACTGTCTAAAATGTAATGCAAAATATTTTGTCATCTATGTCTAAAATAAAAATTTGTGGTGGCAAGGTTACCTAGAGAAGTAGAAAAATTTATATTTTCTGCCCACATTTGTCTTTCATTTAGGTCTTTTTGTTTTCTCTCATGTACTCACATTTTCACAGTGTATTCTCTATTTGTTAACATTTCAATAAATCAGCTGTAAAAGTATGTAAATTAAAAGGACATTTTACTGTTACTCAAAAAAATACACTGTTTATTTTTCTTCTTCTCCTTTCTTTCTGCTGATCTTTTTTTTCTTGATAATAATGTATAGATTTATTTTTCTCAATAATTTATTATTTACCTCTTCTGTCCATTTCCTTGGAAATCAGGGTTTTTTATCAGTAATATGTTTTAAAGAAAAAAATTTGATGCAAAGAATCCAAGCAACTGCCAGCTTCTAGAACACTTTGTTTTAGTTTATTGCATTATAGCAGAGATGCATTTTATATTTTCTTTTTTTTTTATAATGAAAATGTGGTATAATCCTTTCATTAAAAGAAAAAACAAATCTGAAATAATGAATTTTACTTAAATATATATATATAGAGAGCCATTGCAATGCCCAGGTGCATTGCATCCGGCTCCACTTTGCTGCAAATTCTGGAGCAAATACACAGCCATTGTAATCAATTAGAGCATTTACACAGCCTCCATTCTGTGGTTGGCAAATTTGCCTTGATTATTTTTACCGGACATCTGAGTAACCCCTCTATGCACAACCATCTTAACATGATGGAGGGGTTTCGTTACACAGATGATTCGAGGCTATGTTGTCAGGGGCCTAAATACCCCTGGTAGGGTCTCTCCTGGCAGCTGGATGTGATGGGTCAGACAAAGAGCAGTTCAAAAAGAGCCAAACCATCTAAAAATAGTTAGGCTCTCCTCCACACATAGCCTGGGCTCTAGAACCCAGCCTTTTGACAGCTTGGGCCATAAGGTCTTAGGTGCCTATCCGGGTGAAAATCTCTGAACTCGGTGGTGGACACTGGTAGTAAGGGATGCTTTTATCAATGAAGTGAATATAATGTATGTTTCCAGGATGTATAGGGTGAGAGGATGAATGATTCACTTCCCATTGATAGATAAAAAATGACCAACCTCTTCTTTTTTGCCCTCTTACAGGTAATCGCTTCTTCCTGACCTCATTTGGTGCTTTGTATATCTCAGAAGTGCAGAAGGAAGATGCTTTGTCCACCTACCGCTGCATCACAAAGCACAAGTACAGTGGAGAAACCCGCCAGAGCAACGGAGCAAGGCTCTCTGTAAAGGGTAGGGGGAGAAGCATATTTTTTTGTTTTTATAGATTGTTACTAATAAACTTTTGGGTTTGGTTTTTGGGAATCTTTCCATGAACTAAAAGTTTGAATCAAATCACATCTCTCACCATATTTAGATCCAAAGGAGTCAGCCCCATCTGTGCTGGATAGTTTTCAATCTGGTGAGATGCAGGTGGGGCACAGTGTAGAGCTGCCCTGCATTGCTTCTGGATTTCCAAATCCCACCATCCGATGGTTGAAAGATGGTCGGCCATTACCAGCTGACTCCCGCTGGACACGGCGAATCACAGGCCTAATAATCTCCGACTTGAGACTTGAGGACAGCGGAAACTATATCTGTGAAGTCACAAATAGCTTTGGCTCCAAAGAGGTGACTGGTCACCTCAATGTTATAGGTGCGTATACATGTTGGATATATCTTCATAGAGAACTGTGTTTTAAATAAAGTGGATCTAACTATAATTTTCAGAAACAGACACTTCCTACTCAAATACTTCAGACGTGTTGAATTGAATCTCTATTAATCAGCAATGACAGCTGGAGATTTAGTAGGTCACACACCCTTTAAAAGTCTCAATATGTGAAAATAAAACGAGGATTTGGTCCTTGATTTATATACCCAAATTAAATATACTTTTGTATAAGTATATATACATTTATATACTTTATACCACCTAAATGCTCGAGAGACTGACTTGACTTAGTTTTTTTATGGCATAAAATCTAAGTCAAGTCACTGTCTTTTAGCATCAGTTTCAATGACAAAGGGAATTTCAACTCAAGTTTAACGTCTCTGAACAGCAAATCCAGGCAAAGACTCCATTGTTTCAGAGTATTGATGCTTTAAATCTCTAACAACAGAAATTTACATTCTATCATGTGTACTGGTATGTGTGTGGCACTAGGATGGCATAGGTACTTAATTTAATTATGTTTTTTTTTTATCTTCAGGTATAATTATCTAATTAATCTAACACATGGACATTTGCCAATTATCTTCTTAAGAACACCTTTTACTATACTACTTACAATACTAGTTATAAGCCAATACAAAAGCTAGAAATTCCCTTTGTTTAGATTGTCTACTTCTTTAATATATTATGCAATGATTTTCTAAAGCTAAAGCCTTTTAACTCATTAAAAGTACTTGGAAGATTTAATAGGATATTATGTACAAAATCTGCATTTATTGTTAAAAAATAAAGCATTTTAATGTGCAAAATGAATTACAAAATAAGAAGTGAGGAACAATACATTTGGTAAATGAGAGAGTAATTTCTCAATACACACATTGGTTTTTATAAAAAAACCGATAAAAATGCATTTGTTTGGAATGATACTACCTACTCTAAAAGAAAAAGATTCAAGAAATGAGTTAGGTTTATATGCTCTGAAATAACCCTGAGGCCTTTTTTTATATGCATCTACATTTATTATTTATCCACAAAGTAATTATTATAAAGCTGAAGCACACATCTCTTTTGTTGTGAGCAATTAAGAGCCAAGATTTATCTATCTATCTATCTATCTATCTATCTATCTATCTATCTATCTATCTATCTATCTATCTATCTATCTATCTATCTATCTATCTATCTATCTATCTATCTATCTATCTATCTATCTATCTATCTATCTATCTATCTATCTATCTATCTATCTATCTATCTATCTATCTATCTATCTATCTATCTATCTATCTATCTTTTTGAAATAGCAAACCTTAATTGTCAGAGAAACTAATTGAGAGTCAAAGAAAAAAAAAAGCATAAAACAACATAAAAGTTGTAAATGCAAAAACACACAGATACACATGTTAATATAGACTTTCAGCAGTCCCCACTTCCCACATCAGCTGCTTTATTGCTCACTGACATTTTCTCCCCTTCCTGTCCTCCTGTCTCAATTTTTCCTTGCTGCTGAGCACACACTCTCGATCCCACACATGCACATACCCATATAGAGAGACACATCAACCAAAACACAGACAAGAAATACACACCAGAATATGATTTGTGTTGCTTAGCTAGCACAGCCAATTTTTGAATTCTACGCCCAACATGCTTTCTTATACCAGTAGTTTCTTTCTTCAGTATGTAGTTACTCACTTGTGCCCTTTGGAATAATTACCTTATATTTTTTTCCCCCGTCTCTAGAACCACTGCGGGTCACCCTGTCTCCAAAGAACCTGAAGACGGGGATCAGCAGTACAGTAATCCTCTCCTGTGCTGTCCAGGGTTCCCCCCACTTTACTGTGTCCTGGTACCGTAACACAGAACCTGTGATGCCTGATCAGCACTTTTCCATCCAAGGAGCACACAATGAGACACTTTTCATCTCTGCTGCACAAAAAAGACACTCTGGGGCTTACCAGTGCTTTGCCTCGCGAAAGGGTCAGACTGCACAAGACTTCTCCATCATACTGCTAGAAGGTAAAGATTAAATCTTATTAACAAATTATTTTACAAGCCTGTTACCAAGTAATATTAGCACTAAGATTTTATATTTATTTTATATGCTATGTTTAGCTCAGTTGAACAAAAGGATTCCACTTCTGGCCTTTTCCTTTCTCAGATGGTACACCTCGCATCGTTGCCTCCTTCAGCGAACGTGTGGTTGTCCCCGGCGAGCCATTTTCTCTGATGTGTGCAGCCAAAGGAGCCCCTCCACCTACAATCACATGGACCTTGGATGATGAGCCTGTAGCCCGTGATCTGTCACGTGTTAGATCCAGCCAGTATACCCTCTCTGATGGAAGCACCGTAAGCTTCGTCAATGTCAGCAGCCCACAGATCCGTGATGGAGGAGTGTATCGGTGCGCCGCACGAAACTCGGCTGGTGGTGCTGAGTACCAAGCGCGCATAAACGTAAGAGGTGCCTGTCTACTTTTCAATATCAGTCATACAGAGGCTTCTCATAGCCTTACCCCTTACCCACCCTGACCAATACCCTCTGCTTTACCCTCCTAAAGCTCTTTTTCTGTCTATATCTGATTTTTCTTACATGCAAAGTTTTAGGTTTTATTTTACTTTTTATTTTAACTCTCAAACTTACCTTTTTGAAAGCTAATTTCTTCTTATTACTGACAATTATATTTGTTGTATGACCTTCTTTCTCTTCTATTAATATACCTCTAAAATGTATTAAGTAGCATTGAGATACGCAAAGTAAACAAATGTACTTTTACTCCATATAATGACTTCCCATTCCCAAGGGGCTGACCCGTTCCTCTGATTAAATTTGCATGTTTTCTAAGCCAAAGCAAGTTTTTGGGCTACTATATAAAGTTTGGAACTCAATGCTAATTTTGACATTTTGAATTGAAAAGGCTTCCTGGATGGGAAGCGAAACGTCTTTAAACTAGGAAACCAAGAATAGTGGATTGTTTTTTTTTTACTACTATGACCTAGATATCTGAGATGACTGTGTTAAATTTAGTTGATTGAGCTTACCTGTTATGATCCCCTCGATCTTACCTGTTAAGTGCTAGTCAATTGGGGACCCTGGGCATGAATACTGTGAAACTAATTTCACGAACAATCTTGCATATATTTGCAAACTTGATAACTGTGTTTTACTGATCAAGGAAGAAAATGTACGGGAAATAGAATTCAAAAGGGATTACAATGAGTGATCAAGTGACTGCATTGCAATTTATTTGTTGGAGTAAAAAAAATCTGTGGGTGCAACTAACATAAAACCTCAAATTGACTCTGCATGTCTCTTTGACCTTTTGGTACAAGCAAATATTTAGTTATATAAATAACATTTTTGTTTTGCTCTGCAACTTCTCACATTGTTATTCCCAGATGTTCACTTCCAAGACACAATAGCGGATATTCTTACACATACCTATCTTCATAGCGAGAAACATATGAAGGACAACAAAATGAAACTAGATAATAATTGAAAATAGAAGAAAAGCCTCTTCAATGAGGAACATCTGATTGTAAACTCTTGAGACAGAACTGATTAAGTTAGTTTTCTAGAATGACGGAATAAATAGTGACACCAAGGGACAGAGCTGTATCACCATCTCTCCTTCTCACGCTCTATCTCTCCTCTCTCTCTCTCTCGCTTTCTTTTGATTTTTCTCAATACTTTTTTCTTGGTCCTTTTGGTGAGATAGATAGTTTTGACATGCAAGTCAGCTCTAAGTAAACATGCCAGAAAGATCATTGAAGTGAGAATGAGCCCCACTGCCAGAGAGTTTAAGCACTCCATGCTACACAAACTGTCACCAATCACACACAGATACATTGACACTCATACTTAGGACCAAACCTCAGAAAACTGAAGCTCATATGTTTTCCCGCTCACCAAGATTTGTTTCATAGAAAGTATCTGATTCACTAAGCAACCAACAATAACTACACAGAAACTCACAGATATAGCTATGCACGTTTTCTATATAGGGCCTGAATGGGTGTTCACACACGTGTGTTTATGTATGTGATAGAGCTCCTGAATAATACATCTTTGACTCGTCAGAGCTGTGACTTCAAAGCTCAAAACATGCTGAGAGAGGGGTGGAAAAGAGAGGAAAAAGAGACCAAAAGACAGCAAGGGTAGGAGGGGGGTGTCAGAAGAAGCAAAAACAAGATAGACAATGGGGAGAAGGTCAAAGCTAAAGTGGCAGATTATTAAGGGATAACTCTCAACCACCGTCAGAAATGCTAAAAAGATTTTATTTGTTAAATTACACATACTCCTTGCATGCTTTTTATGTTAAACCTTTATTAAAGAAATTTAATTCAATTTTATATTAATCAAAACAAAATTGTCCACATTTCATTGAATTTATATAGGTATTTGCCTTTGAATTTTATTTGTAGCTCCTATTTGATAGATATAATTTCTGTTTTTTTTTTTTATAGACCCAGCAGGGATAAGCGTGAAGGAAAATGGAAAAAGTTTTAGATCTTTAAGTTAATCTCATAAAAAATGGAAACAAAAGTGTTGTGTTCATATTTTTGTTGGGTGTAATATATGAAAACATGTCTGGAATTTTACTTTCTTTATTAGATCTTTTTTCCTGTTTCATAAATTTCCTTTGATAATTGTTTAGCTTTTCCTTGTGAAAGATTATTTAAGAGTCTGATCTGGTTTTTCTAGTTTGTTTCTTTGCTCACCCTGCAGAGCAGTTGTTTTGATAATAGATGTCTTTCCACTGACATTTAGTTTAAATGTATTTGTAAAATCATTCATGTTTTTGATCCATCAAAGGGCAACAAAGGACAAATTCATACATTTACACCTACAGAATTTTTTTTAAAGCAGCCAATTAACCTAACTCTATTGTTTTTGGAGAGTAGCTCAAGCATCAAGACATAATTGACTGATGTTTTTTTTTGTGTGTCAGATATCAGTGCTACGTCAGTGTTTTATTTCGATTTTACATTTTAATAGTAAAAGCAATACTTGAGTGTTTTCCAAATTAACTTTTTCTCAAGTATAATTGTCACACATCTTAATAAACATTTATTTGACAGAGACTGAAGAGATTCTTAACACTTTTTAGGGAGATTCAAGCACAGAGCTATGAGAGAAGAGTCTCTAGAGGAAAAAGGTTGACAAAGATGTAAGTAATAGCTTAGCGATAGCTTAGAAGAAGAGCTGGCTGAATAGTTCCTTTGTCCTCTGTAGAAATTGTCTGTTACACAAGAATTTGACTACCAACAGAAATTTTCATTAATTTAATTTATCAAGTTACTCAAAAATGTGAGTTGGTGCTAAGATAGGCACAAGCCTGGTCCAGCTATGACAGAAAAGGTGCTCATGATAGCAGAAGTTAACTTTGGTTCTCACACTTTCCAGGAGTTCAAGCCCTAACTCCTTTTTCATGTGCATTAATAATCTTTTTCTTCCTACAATCTCCCCTCTGTTTCTTTGTGTTGTGAGAAAAGAGGTGGTGGGAATTTCAGAGTAAAAACAGCCTACAAACTTGCGCTAACTTGACCATTGTAAACAAAAAAAGCAAAACAGAAACACAAAATAAGAGGGGGTATTGGAGGATGAAAAAGAGTGTTTTTGAGCACAAATGACAAGATTTTCCCTAGAACTCCCAGAGAGAGCATGAACCCAAAGCCCCATTTACACTACCCTTTTGAAATCGTGCGGAGGACAGTCCGAGCACGGTAACCGAGATTATCAACGCACAACTTAACTGAACGGTGCGAGACACAAACAATCCGCACTAAATCTAGTACTATTTATTAACAGTGGGGCTTGGCGTGGTTAAGCTGTGGCTCAGGTCTTTGATAACAAAGACCGCATAAGCAGGCTGCGTCATCTCCTATTTAAAGTCAGCTGACTCATTTTGCAGGTTTTACGACATGCCCAGCTTTGCAACTCTCAGATCTCTCTTCATCTGTTCACAGCAAAAACTTCTTCTCAGCCTATTAACAATAAATGGCATCAAAAGAGCGTTTTGGACCTGGGAAGATGCCAAGACCAAGGCTCTAATTGAAATTTGGGTGGAGGATGGTATCCAGGCACATGACTTCCTTAATGTCATTTTTGTCATTTTTGTTTGCATATTCCCTGCCTTGAGAGCTATAGTATTGTGGACCGCCGATAGGAGCATGATGTGTAAATTGCCGTAAGAACCAAGCTCGGAACAGTTAACTGATCCAAGCCTGGTACGAACATGGAGCGGTTGCAGCGGGGAAGTGTAAATGGGGCACAAGTTAACTTCTGTTATCCCCATTAGCTCTATTTCCACAGCCTGGACCAGGCAGGCCAGCTATGGTCTTCCCTTCCAATCTGACTGACATTAAGCTATTATACGAGAAAAAAAAAAAAACTGACAAAGGAGTCTCCAGATTTAGAAAGTGGTTAGAAACCTAAATAAATAGCACAGGGTTGAAGGTTTAAAAAGAAAAATTGTAATAAAGAAAAAAAAAAGTATTTTCTATGACAATCATATTGAAAACAAAACTGAGAAGGAAATGAAAGTGATAGTCCTTGTTTTTTTTCCCTTATATTCTTGCAAAAAGAAATTAAAACTGTGTTTTTTTTCCCTTCACACTTGCAGTAATAACATATAAAATTTCCCAAAATAATCAGATGTATCTTAAACAGCTATATAATTTTTCTTCTTCTGTCTCTTCTCCTAAGTTCTCTCCCCAACCCCCATCCCTTTCCAACCCCCCTTCCTCCCCTCCATTATTCCCAAAATTCCAAGATCTTCTATTGGCATCATAAACTAATGATCTTCTTTATCCTTCTTTCCTTTTCTTTCTCTGATTCTACCACTCTTTCTTTCTCCACCTTTCCATTTTTATCTTGTTCTCATAATCAGGTCCTCCAAGGATAAGGCCTATGAAGAATATTACAGCGGTGGCAGGAAGAAACACTTTCATAAACTGTAGAGTAATTGGGTATCCTTATTACTCGATCAACTGGTACAAAGAGGGAATTCTGCTTCCTGACAACCATCGTCAGGTAAGGTCCCCCTTTTACTCAGTACAGAAATACAAAATAAGGAAGTGCTGTTCCACAAAAAGTTTACTTCATTCTGGGACTTCTTTGAGGAGTTTTTATTTTCTTCTGACAATTCAAAAGTTGTTGTCATAGCCCTTTGTGTATTAATTATTGATATTACGTTAGTGTGTACTAATACATTGCCAATACTTGTTTAGGTGGTGTTTGAGAATGGGACACTTAAGCTCAGCGATGTTCAGAAAGGCATGGATGAGGGTGCCTATGTGTGCAGCGTGCTGATCCAACCACAGCTATTCATCACACAAACTGTTTATGTCACTGTCAAAGGTTAGTAAAATATGTGACGCTGCTGAACAGAATAACTATTCTACAGGTTTTTACTTACAGAAAAGAGAGTATGAAAATCTTTATCATACTATTGATGCTTCCTCAGTTTACTATGTTGAAGTTGGGGTTGGGATGAACCATTCGAACGTGCAGATGAAAATCTGCTACTTCTGTTATTATTATTACTTTAATTTTATTATTATGCAGTTTTTTTTTCCAACCAAATAAAATAGCACACCAGACTCCATTCATATCATCAAGCCATCATGTTCAGATTGGACTCCCTTGATGAGATGACTGGAGTCTGGTGCGCTATTGCTTGGTTGGAAAGAAAACCTGCAGCCACACGGCCCTTTCTGGAACCAGTTTGCTGACCCTGCTCTAGACTGTTTCCCTGTTTTTGTGGATTTACTTTGTAATGGGATTTAAGTTGGTAAGTCTTATTTTTCAGTCTCTCAGAAATGTCTTGCCAAGTGCAGTAAATACTTTTTACTGTCCTGAATGACCCGTTTGAGTCATTTCATTTGAAAAGAGACTGGCCACTGTCACTGTGCTCCTCTGGTAGGGTGATTGCAACATTTCAATGTAATATGCTGGTGAAGGTTTTCAGTCATCGAGGTCATAGTCATTCCAAAAAATGAAAAACAATCCACTGGACTTGTTTTTCCAAGTTTGAAGACGTTTGGTTACCCATCCAGGAAGCTTTTTTCATATTTATTTAATATTTTATTTTTATTTAAATAGATAAACAACCAATTTATATAATAAACTGAACAAGGGTTGTGTTCACACTGCAGGCCTTTAATGCTCATTTTTGACTTTGTTGTGAAATTTTTGTTTTTTTTCTAATAAGTACTTTGAGACAACATTGAGACAAGAAACAAATTAATAGAATACAAGTAAAAATAACACCTCTCCTCTGAAATGGAGCTTCTTTTTAAAAATATCTTTCCTAACTCAGACTGCTATGATGATAATGATGATTAAAAGTACAAACGGACATTTGCAAAATTATGTGTCAAACCCAGGGACCTCTAAAATGAATCTGGTACAGCTGAAGAGCACAAAACAAAGACTACTCTACCATATAGATTTCTGACTAAATATGTTGACACGCCCAGAGAACAGTCATTCATTCTGCTTATGCCTCCTTTTCACTACAATGACTAGAGATATTTTTGCATGCAAGTTTGCACCTGACTTCCAAATGTGCTAAATGTAGATACAGAAGCAGCACCCCGATTCTGTTCCAGGTTTTATCATTCATATTGTGTATAAATTTTTTTTTACAACCAAACCTTATGTAGATCATAGCCATTACACATTCTGATTTTTACTTTACATGGACAAATCAATTATATATGACATGATGTATTTAAAAACAGTATTTTACATACCATCTACTCATACCTAAAGATGTTTATATGTACTTGGAAGCCTCAAAATGAACTGTAAGGAGCAGAAACTTTGTCATCTCAAGGCATATTACTGAGACAATTTAATAAAATTATATAGACAGATTAGTTTAAACATTTCTCTCAAAAGAAGCTTATTACACTCATTTATAGACTTTGCAGGCTTAGTTCCTCCATCCCCTCACAGTTTTACTTTGACTCTGCAGCAATCCCTCATGCCAGGCATGTATACAGCAGCAGTGGAGAGGAAAAACACCCTTTTAACATGAATAAATCTCAAGCAGAACCAGGCTCTGTGTGAGCAGCCTTATGCTGATGCTGACTGGGGGCTCAAGAAGACAGTAGCAGGCACACAAAAGGGATATAGAAGCATCGTTCCATAAATACCTTTAAATGTTAGAGAAAATAAAGGTAAATAGCTATCATTTTTGCTATGCTCTACCTGCTGACAACATTCATCCTCCTCTTTATTCTTTTAAGGTACACTTTCTTATTTGGTCCTGAGATACCTTTAATCAGTTCTGTATTTTGTCTTCAACGCAATCTCTACTTAGGCCATTTTTAAATAGATTAATTAGTGCTGCTGGAGGATGTTCAGGGTTCTTTCCACTTGATATTGTTCTATTAAGGATTTGTAAATCAGACTACTTTGTTAGGGTTGCAATGTATAGGACAAATAAAAAAAAGTGAAAAAGGAGTACAATCTTTTTAATTTACTTTGTTGTTAGTGCAATGAACAAAGTGATTATTGGAATGGCTGGAAACAGGACCGTTTTAGTAAAACAGAATGAAAAGAAAGAACAAAGCTGTGTGTATTGTCTCTAATAATCCCTGATTAAGGGGCTGAGTGGCAAAGAGCAAGCTCTCAGCCTCTCAACAATTACACAGAGCAGGAGGGCTATTGTACAAGTTTTAGGATTGTGTGCATTCCTTACTCATTGCATGTGTTAGTATGAATGAAATGTGTGTGTTGTAATATTTTTTTTCCTCATAATGCTTCACTCTGTCTTCTGCTGCAGCAGAACGACATGTTTGTTCCAGGAAGTTGTCAAGTGTGAATGTGGGTTGTGTTCATTCTCGCAATGTGTGACATTTTTGTTGCTCCCTTGTTTTTATACTGTAGTATTACTCTGCTGAGTTTATGTGTGTGCAAATTAACACTCTCTGTCTTGATGCAGGTGTGTTTTTACTTAAGAGCTTGCCCATCATACCTCTGATTTCTGTAAATTCGTGTTAAAAGGCTTAGAATAAATCACCAAGTTACTCCTACCCTAAACCTAACCGCCACCCCAAGATTAGAACTTTTCCTTATGGGAACCAGTTGTTTATACCCACAAGTCCCTATAAGTCTGCAAAATCTAGCGTATTTCTGGGAAATAGTCCCAACAGGGTAATAAAATATGCCCATAGACACACATACAACTTCAGTAGCATCCAAATCCTCTTTACACACTGCAAGTCATCCGTATCGCCTTAGCTGATATCCATGGCACTGCAGTTTTTCCCCCTATGGATGGGGCTCCAATTAGAGCAGCTATTATGGGTTGACTTAAGCAGGACATGGTGGGTTGAAGTGGAAGAGTTGTACTCGGACGGTGCAGTGGGTTACAAGCCCAAGCTTGGTTAATGGACTTTATTTGACTATTCAAGAATTCAGTGCCAAAAAACAGATATAACAAGATATCATGTTGTATTGATCTTGAGAAATAATTATGTATTACACATTTAATATTTATATTTTCAAAACAAAATGAGTGGTTCTTTAAATTGCTGGGCACCTTTTTTTCCTTTTTATTGCATCTACGCTTATTTTTTTTTCCTTCTCATTCTTTTTTTTTTCCTCTTACAGTTCCCCCGCTGATCCAACCATTTGACTTTCCCCCGACCTCCATTGGTAAATTGATGTACATCGCCTGTGTGGTGGCATCAGGAGACATGCCAATCCGCATCACATGGCGTAAGGATGGCCAGGAGATCGTACCCTCATCAGGGATCACCATTGATACAAAAGAGTTCATGAGTTCCCTGCAGATTTCCAAAGTGTCTCTAAAACACAATGGCAACTACACATGCATTGCCAGCAACGATGCTGCAAGTGTCAGCACAGAAAGGCAGCTCACAGTTACAGGTAAGCACAGAAAAAGATTAATGAGTAGTTTGAGGCCAGCTGGAAAATAAAACAGAGACTGCTGAGGCTGATAAGCAGATGATCTTTCATTTCTATGGCTGAAAGTGTCTTTCATAAAAACAAATATTATCTCACTTAATACCATTCTTACTGTATGCGTAAAAGGCATTCTCTGCTAATAATTCATTATTTTATTTTTGAATTATTAAATAAAAGGCACTAGTAAATCTAGAATAAATAATAAATTATTGATGATTGTCCTAGATGTTTATTGCATTAATTCACATTATTTGTGAATTTATCTGGCAGTCTTCCTATTTTAAAGGGATTTGTCTACATTCAGAGGTATTAGTTTATTCATTACAGGAGACAGTTTTCATTCCAGTTCCAAAGGTCATGGTGTACAGTAGCTATCTGCGACTCACAACAGAGTCAACATGAGAATTTCTGTTACTCTGCATACCTTTTGTATCAGTTGAATATTTACACTAAAGAGTATCTGTGTTGCAAATCGGGCAACATGAAAGGATTTGATAATGTTTACACAGTCCAGCGTGCATGAAGACAGATACATTTGGTGTGTTGTCACAATACCAGTAAGGCTGCAACAGTTTGCTTACCCTCACATTAAGAATCTGCAAAAAACATGTAAATTGAGCTGTGAATTTTAGATTAAATTATATATATACTGTGATATACAGTATATGTGATAACAAAATTATACATTAGATGAGTTTAAATTTTTGGTATTACATGAATGCATGTGAGTGTTAGTCAATCATGCTTAAATGCATACACGAGCAAGAGGAGGAAGTAAAAAAATTAAAAAAATCAACAAACATTGAGCCCCACTGGTACAAACTTTTAAGTCACTTAATTCAAAAGGTTTCACTCTGTGCATTTCAAATAAATTGGCTTTTTACCTGTGCATTTTTTTACTCAAATTCTTTCCAGTCCCGCCACGATTCGTTGTACAGCCCAACAACCAGGATGGGATCTATGGAAAGTCAGCAATCTTAAACTGTTCTGTCGATGGATATCCTCCTCCTAAAGTGATGTGGAAGCATGCCAGAGGAGCACTAGGTACATTACCCTCTTTTCATAACTGTATGCATGTGGTATGTTTTTCTGTCAGCTTTTGTTTACAAAATACTTCACAGTAACCTTTCCTTTGTGGCTCTCACCTTTTGCCCAGCTGGGATTGGAAACCCACAACAGTACCACCCGGTCCCTCTGACAGGTCGTATTCAGATCATGACTAATGGCTCTCTGCTAATCAGACATGTCCTGGAGGAAGATCGAGGTTTCTACCTGTGTCAGGCCTCCAATGGTGTGGGTTCAGACATCAGCAAGAGCATGGTCCTAACTGTTAAAAGTGAGTATGCATATCCACACAGAGAAGCAGGGTAGGGGTAGAGATAGAACATTTAGGAGCCTCTAACTTTATGTAATGATACTCTTGCACTTAACAAATAATTAATTATCTTGCTATACTCTAAAAATGATAAAAGCAAAAGTGATACATAATAGTGATACATAATAGGAGAAAAAACCAGGAGCAGCCCAGGGGAAGATAAGTTAATGTTAACAAACCTGTGACAGACAGCCAGACGACAATCAAACCGTTGATCTTTCAACTCATGGGATCTGTCTTAAGACAGTCAAAATGACTTTGAGCTTGATCACTATCTGTAATCAATTCTATCTATCCTTTGCCACCTGTCAGGAACCTCTTAGAAACAACATGCGTAAAAATGGAAATGACCAATATACTCAATGAACCCAAAAATAAAGATTTTCAATGTCAAATACAGCATGATTTAAGGCTAATGTTTTCTGTAACTCACAGTACAATTCAGTTGTCCTCACGAGAGAGATGTTAAACTTGATATCTGGCAGCTTTTGACACTTGTATACACAAGCGAGTAGAACAAGGCACACATAAATGCATCTACTGCTCTCCCCATGTTTTTCTATCCATGGGGCTGCCCCACTCTCTTCGATGCGCTCCCTCTTTCTCCTTCTCCTGTTAGTTTTATTGATTAAACCGTTCCTCTCCTCTGCCTCCCTCAATTCTGTCTGTATCGCTCAGTGGAGAAGACGGAAAAGCGGAAAAGAGGGAGGGTGGGATGAATAAGTGATGAAAACAAAACAGCAGAACCCTCGTTGGATCGATACAGGGTGTATGTGTGTTGAACTAAGAAGATTGAGTGTGTGAGGGATATGGGTATCGAATGAACACAAAAGGTGGAGTGTATTGTTTTTTTTGCCTCTTCATTGACTTACAACCCCTATGTTAACTATTGGAGAATGAGAAAGGAGTTTTATTGACTTTACCTCAATGACCATAGCTTTTCATTGCTCTAATGCAATGGAACGCTAAACCCCTCCTTTAACTGCCAGTTTCCTATACCTCTCTTTCCTCCTCACTTATTTTTCTCCTCACAAATTCTGCTTATTGTCCCCCCCCCTCCTTCTTCTTCTTTAATTCCTCTTTTACCTCTCTCTGTAATACAACTTCCCTATCTGTTTAATGATTTCCTTTACCTTCTACTCTTTTATCCACACCTAACAATTATCTTACACTCGATTTCCTGTCTCACATCAGTCCCAGCAATGATCACCAGTCATCCCAATACCACCATGGCAAAGAAGGGCCATGTGAAGGAGCTGAACTGCACAGCCAGAGGAGAATGGCCCATCATCATCCGCTGGGAAAGAGGTGACACAGTGATTGACCCAGATCGCAACCCTCGGTACTCCATAACCACAAGCCCCAATGAAAAGACAGATGAGGTGTTGTCTACACTCAAGGTAAAAAAAAAATCATTTGTCTATTGCAGCACCTGTAGTTGATGAAATCAAACCTCAGTGCCTTTTTTTAGTCTTTTTTTTGTGCCTTAAGTGGTGCTTTGCAAAAGTCTTCATACCACTGAGAATTTTTTCTGCACTGCATTGTATTTTATTGCTTGAGGTCAACGAGGTGTATTTAATCGCCCTGAATCAGTACTATCTAGACACACCTTTAGCTGCAGCTGAAACTGGAAGTATTTTGAAACACGTCTTAACTAAATTTAAAGATCTACAAACTGATGGTTTCACATGTGGTTCTTTGCAGAGTAGTTTGAGTTCAGGTAAATCAAACACAAACTGCAAACGTCAATCATTGTCATTTATATTTAGGTCACATTCTTAGCAATTTTAGCCATTCAATGAATATAATTTATTTTAAATTATTCCATTCTTGCTCTGGCTGCAATCTATGGTGGTTGTTCTCTTGCAAAGTTACCCCCTGCAACAGTACTAAATCCTTTGTAGTCTTTAACATTTGTTCTGTTTGTTTTGGATTGTATTTAACTCAATCCATTTTCTCATCAGCTTTGAGTATTTGCTCTGTCCCCCCTGAGTAAAGTGGGCTTTCAGTATAATGCCACCACTACTGTGTTTTACACTGTATTCTGATCAAAACACCTTTTTGCACAGGTTTACTACACAGCAACCAATCTTAATTTGGATTTGTTTCTACATTTTTTTTTTTTTTTTGATATAAATGTTAAATTTGTGGAGTGGTGCTGTTAACAGAATCTCCCTCTGCAGCTGTAGATCTGTTTCTATCGAACTTCTGGAGTTACTATGCGCCCTTTTACTGCTTAAGTGATTAATGCTCTCCTAATTCATCCTGTAGGTTTAGATGAATAGCCATTTATTCATAGGTAATGCAGAGACAAGCTATTTCTGTCTTGATGGATTTAACAATGCTCTGTGACATTAAATTATTTTAAATATTGTTTTCTAACCTCACGTTGGAACCTTTTTACACATTTATCATTGACCTTTCAGGATCAGGGATATTGGTCTTTATTGTGCTGTGAATTGAGTAATATTCCGTACAGTAATAAACCTCTGTGACCTTCAAATAATAGATATAGTAATACAAGCTATAGAAATTATACAAATTAGATATAACTTGTTAAAAAGAAAACTTATATTGCAATTTTAAATTACTGAGCCTCTATATAAAGCATATATATGGAAAATGATTAAAACTGCAATCTAAGAATACATAGCTTTTTACATAACTGTCAATCAAGGCTAAAGTATTTGCTTAGAGTTGCCCTTGATTGTTCTGATTAATGTTAACTGAAAAATCATTAGCTAAGGTATGAAATTCAATGGTTATTTATATGCCTCTATTTTCACAATGTGTTTTCCTTTTAGTTTCATCAATCACAACCAAAACCGTACCTAGTCCCTCACCACACATTCTGCATTCCTCTTAGGATGCCCACCGCAGAGCATTTTTTAAATATTATATGATGGTAGACCTAACTCTCTGACAGACATTGTTCTTAAATTAACTAAACAACAGCTTTGCAGGTTAGCTTTCTTTTCTAATAGTTGGATGCTAAATTGCAAGTCAAAGCTGAAATCAAAGATGTTCCTTTGTATTTAATAGTTTGATCAAATATAATGAATAGACCCGGTCACCTAAGCAACCATAAACTATTGTTAAGGGACTTGTTTAAAACAATATAATGTTAAATCCTGACAAAATTAATTGGTTTATTATCGCTTTGATTTTCTTTTGGAATTTCTAAATGTAGCTAAAGCCGGCCGAGCGTGAGGATTCAGTTTTCTTCTCTTGTCATGCCATCAACTCTTATGGAGAAGGACGAGGCCTTATTCAGCTCACTGTGCAAGGTATTCATGTAAATTAAATGATGGAACTACTCTTTATTGCTAATACTCCCCCACTTGTGATGGTACTGTCTTGTCTCCTCTTCCTCTTTTTTGTCCTTAATTTACCTTATTTTACTTTCTTTTTTCAGAGCCTCCAGACCCTCCAGAGCTGGAGGTGCGAGAAGTGAAAGATCGTAGCATGAATCTTAGATGGACACAAAGATTTGATGGAAACAGTGTCATTACCTCTTATGACATTGAATACAAAAACAAGACAGGTAACTAACAAAAATCCTTGTTTTCATATCAACAAAGCATTTTGATGGTATGTTTTGATTATCAAAAACTGTAATAACGGCCACTGAAATTTGATCTTTTAATCCACTTTTTAACAGATACTTGGGAACTGAAACATGCCACTCGAAATATCTCTCCAACAAACAATCAGGCCAACATCGTGGACCTTCACCCTGCCTCTGTCTACAGCATCCGTATGTTTTCCTACAATGCAATAGGCAAAAGTGAGGCCAGTAAAGAGCTCACCATCAGCACCGAAGAAGCACGTAGGTTTCTAAAAAAGCACTACCTTTAATTTGCATGCACTTTAGTTAAAACACTTTCTTTTCTTTTTCTGATTGGACTGTTTTATGGATTTTTATTCAAATCCATCAGACAGTACAGTATATGAATAGAAAGTAAAGAAAAACACTTTATAAGGAAACTGTATCTAAAATATTAAAATTATTATATCAATTTTTGAGCAGTATAGCCATTTTAAAAGGATCAATATCAGTAAATCACCTTTGGGGTTATAACTCAAAATGAATAGGTTTTCATCTGGAAAAAAGAAACTGCTTTTAACTTTTCAACATGGAACAGTAAAGGAATGCTCCATTAGAGCAGAGGATTCTTTGACAAGGGCTATTTAGCATCAGGTCGAAGGCCTCCTAGGAGGTCCCGAAGGTAATGCAAGGGGATTATTACTTAAACTTTTGCTCGGTTTTACCACAAATTAATCGGGCATAGTAGCACCTACAATACTGTTACATTTACACAGCTTAAGAAGTTAGGTCTTTGTTGTAAGCACTTCAAAACGATATCATATGTACCCTGGCCTCCAAACCTTCACCCCCCCCACAAAACCCTAGAACTGGACATGTGAAGGTTGTTCTTGTTCCATCTCTTCATCAATCTGGGGTTCCAGGACTGAGGATCATTCAATCGCCACTCTAGGACATAATTTGTATGGATAAGCCTTTGCACGCGTCCCCTTCCTCCTACTATATGCAACTTTAAACGTCAGTAGGGGAGACTCTGCTTTCAACAAGCAATGGGGTAATTTGATTGGATATCTTTACTGTAGAGCAAATCTACCCTTGCACAGGTATTGAGCTAGCCTTCGTATATGGTATGCCTTAGATGCAATGAAATTGAATAGGTTCAAAAATTCTTCTGTTTTATATAAAAAATTATTAAAAATGGTTCAACTTTAAGCTGTTTATATGTGTTAAACGATTAGACTTTCTGTTTCTGAACAGAGCCTGACGGTCCTCCAATGGATGTAATCCTTCAGCCAGTGACCTCTCAAAGTATCCGAGTCACTTGGAAGGCAAGTATATTTAGCATGTGTCTTGCTGTCTTAAGAAGTACTCGGGCAAGTAAACTATCCTTTTATCTTAGCACCATACTTTAAGCTGTTTATTTACGAATTGCCTTTCACTATAATAAGTGAGCATAAGCAGCATAACTAAAAGGTATAAGAATACAGGAAGCCTTTATTGGATGACTGAATTTAACAGATAAGGAAGTATTTCAATGCTTAAACATAGCAGTTTCAAACATTGATACAACAGGATGTCAGGCTTAAAGTACTTTCTCCTATTACAAATTAGGAAGAAGGCACATGCTAAACTTAATTAGATGGATTTCACTTCGAAGAGAGATAGTACAGCAGATATATTTTTTTTAATAGTCCAATAGCCTGAGTTAACTCACGAAATAGCAAGTAAAAAGAAATTGTTTATTTGAGCTTTTGTTTCTTTCTCCTCAATCTATTTACAGGCTCCAAGGAAGGAGCTACAGAATGGGGTAATACGGGGTTACCAAATCGGTTACAGAGAGAATGGCCCTGGCAGCAATGGCCAGTACAGTATTGTTGAGATGAAAGCCACTGGGGACAGTGAGGTCTACACCTTAGACAACCTGAAGAAGTTTGCTCAGTATGGTGTGGTCGTCCAGGCCTTCAACAGAGCAGGCACAGGGCCTTCAAGTTCAGAAATCAATGCAACAACACTGGAGGATGGTAAGATTTAGCCTAAACAAATATTTCAGTAATTCTCAGCATTCTACTGGTGTTTTGTCTGTTTGCTAGCGTTAGTTCAGATGTCTTTGGCTACATTCACACTGACGCCTTTGATACTTAATTCCGAATTTTTTTTTTTTATGAGATCCGATTCTTTGCGTGGTCGTTCACATTACCAAATATATGCAACTTGTGTGCGATCTACAGTGTGAACTGCAATTATACAACTTAAGTGTCCGGCATGTGCAGTAGAGGATGGAATGACGTCACACGGGAGCGTGCTCTGTGTTTGCCGAAGTAAACATGGATGGTAGTGCTGGAGCGCATCTTGCAATTTTTCATTTGTTTACCAACAACAGTGTATTAACAACAAAATCTTTTCAAGAAGGTTGAAAGTAAAGACTGCTCTCTGCGTTATAGTCCAATATGGTGGTTGTTTTTCTAACTGCTTATGCTTCCTGCTATCGTTGCAAGACAGAGAATAGTGACCTTTCTCAAGTATTAATAACGTTCAGGTCGGATGAATGCAACATTGCCGTTTAGACACAGGTCACATTTGAAAAGATCAGATTTGTATCGGATTCAGGACCACATAGCAAAGTGGCCTTGGTCACGTTGGAAAAAATCGGATCTGTGTTGTTCAGTCTGTCATGAAAAGATCAGATACAGGTCATATGTGGGCAAATCGGACTTGTGTCACTCCAGGCTGCTGTGTTAGCGTAGCCTTTGAGGCAAGCAGTAGAGCATAGCTAATCAGCAAGAAGAAGTACAAATAATAGAAGACTTAACTGTCAATACTATGAATTATTTTCTTATTTTTACAATGTTCTTTATCTACTGCAGTTTTACTATTTTGCCCTTGTTTAGCTTATTCGTCATTTGATCTCTGTGTTGCTTTGTCATTCACAATGACTACATTTTCTCTATTCTCTAAAAGACAATAAATGGTTTGCAGTTAGAATCCAAACGTTTCAACAAGGACAGAGATAGTTTCAAACAAAGCGCAGTGCATTGAGTGAAACACCGATCTCAGAAGATACATGTTGAGAAGTTGACGTGCCCCTGACTGCTTAGGAGTAAACAAAATATTTCTGAGTGAGTGAACAAATAAATAAATGAGCTGCCAAAGCATGTTTTCTGAGATTAGATTGTTAAGAGCAACACTTTAGAATCTATCATCTCCATCTGGTGTATAACAATTTATCAATATTAAAAATAAAAATATTTAAATATAGTTCTAGGATGTCTGTGCCTCTTTTAATGACGATGCAATTAGGAAAAGAAATGTTTTCAACTGCACTTTCCAACAGTTCACATAGGTTTTTTTAAGCTTGACAAAGATTTAATAAAAAATTGATAATAATGTCTTTCCTCAAACCTAAAAAAAAAAAAAACATAAAAATTTGTTGTAACGTTCTTAGTAAATGTATTTCATTTACTGTATTTTTTTGAAAGATCAAAGCGAGCTAGAGACAGTTGAACATGACAGATTTTGTTTTCAATTGCATGAGAGATAACCAGGTTTCTAGTGCCTTGGTTTGGAACTGAAAAGGTGTTGCTCTCTCAAGTATCTCATTACTTGGTGCTGAGAAAACTCTAGACCAGTTTAGCAGTGGAACCAGTTTACATATAACCAAAATTCCTCATTTGATTGGGCATGGTTAATTCTTACACACATACAGTATAGAGCAGGTAGGCTAAAATTCTAAATGGCTAAAAAATAAAATGAATGCATGGTTGATTCACAACTTTCCACATTGCCTTCCTGAAAAAGTTCGGCACAAAATGAATTAAATGTAATCTCTAGCATTGTCATACAACTGATGGAATTTATATATATTTTTTTACTTTTTTTTTACTGCAAACTAAAATTAAAGCTAAATAACATTGATTAACTTTCAGCCACAAAAACAAGAACACACATGAATTGGTAAAGTAAAATTAAATGATTTTTCCTTAAGCAACATCATCTTACCGGTAGTTGATTTAATTTCATGCAATTGCTCTCAGTGTTGTACTACATTATATTTTTTTCAGTCTATTTTTAATTCAGGTCCCAATATTCTTAATAATATAAAAAAACACATGAATGTATAAATACAGTCATATTTGTCCACAGTTTGCTGGGTCTCATTGGTCTATAGAGGAGACATAGCCCCTCTAGTTCCTTCCTGTGGTTGTAACCCTGGCGACAGTGATATCGATGGCCATTATGATAATAATGATGCCAACAAGCATACTAAAAATAATTATAATTAGCTTGTCTCTCTGTCTGTCGTTCTCTCTTTCCCTCTCCTGGTTTCCTGCTGTAATTATCCACAGCTGAGTGCTTTGTCTCTCTGCTACCTCTTTTCATCTTTCTCCCCTTTGCTTTTAACTGTCCTCCTCAATACCCTCTTCTTTCTCTGCCCGTTTTCCCCATCTACCCCTGATTCTAGATTTATACACAAGGGCCTTTCTATATATATGCAGTTTTTCACTAAAACTAAACTAAAAATATATATATTAGTTTTCATGTTTATCTTTCTAATAATTCTGACAAACCTTTGAATCTGGTAAGGAACAGAATAAAAGCTAAGAAAATTGATGTTTTAGGCATCAACATTTTTGCTTGCATTCTAATTTTTAAATAGCCTCTGTGCTATCTTTTGATGCGTCCTCATTAGCTATCATTTACTTCAGAGGTCTATTAATGCATAGCTGTTTTGTTTTCTTACCCTCGTTTATTTTCTGCCTCCCTTCCTCCATCCTCCTCCCAACTTCCTTTTCTCCCCACCAGCTGCAGTGAAATTCTCTGGTGGACTTGGCGCAGTGTCCTTTTTCGATTGCATGCTGTCTTTTAGTCAACCCTCTTCCTCTCTTCCTGTCCATACCCCTCTCACAAGTTGACTTCTGTTCATCTTCAACAGTGGGAGTAATTCAAAGCCTGAATGGCTAGTGGTCAGTGGCAGCCAAAAGCTAAGACACCTGGACTGGAGGAAACAGAGTGGGGCCTGTATAAAGAAAGAGAGATTCTCCTGTAGATCAAAGTCAAGCACATGGAGGGGTTTTGTTGTTGTTGTGTTTATCAATTACTACTCTGTTCACCCACTTTAGGTTGGCTGTGAAATTGTCCAGTAGGTGTTACCAAAAAAGTGTTCTCATCTATTTTTTCAATTAACCACATGATTAATATTTTCGATAGGTGAAAACCATGGTGAAATGGTATATTATTTCATTTACTAGATACACTTAAAGGGAATTTTTTTGCTAATTAGTCCTTTACAGAATACTGAGAACTGTGTTTCTGTATTATTTTTTATGTGTAATGGCCTTTCTGTTAAGAGTTAGATTTTACTGTTTGTGCCTGCATTGGCATTATCGTTTGAAGAAATACACCAATTAGAGATTTGTGTCAGATATTTGATTTCTTAAAAGATTATTGGTTATATGGGCTTCTCGGTAGTGCAGTGGGTAGCACTGCTGCCTTGCGGGTTCGATCGGAGTCTTTCTGCATGGAGTTTGCATGTTCTCTCTGAGCATGCATGGTTTCTCTCTGGGTACTCCAGCTTCCTCCTACAGTCCAAAAAAATACTGTTAGGTTAATTGGCTTCTCTAAATCCTCCTTAGGTGTGAGTATGTGCATGAATGGTTGGTTGCCCTCCAATATACTGGCGACCTGTCCAGGGTGTACCCCGCCTCTCGCCCATAGACTGGAGATAGGTATCAGCATCCCTCCTGACCCTGCTTAGGATAAGAGTTACAAGAAATGGAAGGATGGATGGATTATTGATTATGTAAAACTTAGATAAAATAGTTAGATGGTTTATATTATTAAATGCTTTTAGATTGTATGCCAAAATCATCCGTATTAAGACAATAAAAGAAGTGAAACATTTCAGTTAGTGTGCAATGAATCTAAAATATATGAATGTTCAAGTTTTATCCTTACATTATGGAAAATAATTAACTTTATCACAATATGCTAATATTTTGAGAAGGACTTGTATATGGAGACAAAACCTTTAGACAATAGACAAAACCTTTTTGTGTCCTGTATTGTTTCTCTGATGTCCATATAACATATATATATAGAGAAGTTTCTGGAATTTAAAGTATTTATTGGAAAATATCTGTTGTGTTTATTTAAAATTTTAGACATATCTGTAAACATTTACTTTTGTCCTTTCTTTTTTAGTGCCCAGTCAGCCTCCTCAGAATGTACGAGCCATCTCTGTTACATCAGACCAGGCAGTGATCAACTGGGCAGAGCCTCCTAGAATGACTCTCCATGGTGTATTAAAAGGATATCGTGTTGTGTTCTGGGCTGTTTTCCCAGATGGAGGTAATCAATCAATCAATCAATGAGTCTGCCGTTTGAAAGTTTTTTTCCTCTAATAAATTTCTAAAAAGATAAATAGGATATTTTAGAAGTTTATAGTTTTACATGATGTAATAACAAATAATTAAAGGATGATCGTATGCTGTTACTTCTCAGTGATGTCAATAAAAATACCATCTTGTATGAAAACGTAAAAATTTTGATTATTTAATGTTTTAATTTTCACTCAAATCTTTGCCCTTACCATTCTCAGAGTGGAGTGAAATGCAAAACATAACAACCACAAAAGAACAAGTGGAGCTTAAAGGCCTTGAAAAGTTTACCAACTACAGCATCCAGGTGCTGGCCTTCACCCAGGCAGGGGATGGTGTTCGGAGCAACGTCCTGTACATCCAAACCCGTGAAGACTGTAAGTTTGTATTGAGTTGCTGTATCAACTTAAATAAACCAAGTTATTATTACCTGCAATAATGTTTAATTTGCCTTGACCCTGTTTTTGAAGCAGCTTTAAGGATTTTTTTTTCCTCTCGGTTTAGGCAGCAGTGTGGGAGGCAGGGAGCCAGCGGGTGTAGAGGGGGTCTTTGTTAGGCTGAGGTTGCTGATTAACAACCTCTTTGTGCTCTGATGTGCCATTACTAGTGCTAATGAAAATTAAAAAGCCAAAAAGTGTGTGCGGCTAACAACCCTAAGGGTGTCAGTCCGTGTGTGTGCATATGTGTGTGCATTCGGTGTGTTAAAAGCGTCTTTACATGTAGACATGTCTTTAAGGTGATGTGCACATAGCACTGCGTGTGTGCACGTTCATTGGTGTTTGTGCAAGTCTAGCTCACAAAGAAGCAGGAGGAAAGGGATTAATTCTTTGTGGTTTAGAGAGAATTAATTTTGTGCTTACACTGGCGGGCTGTGGATTACATCCGTATCCGCCTCTCCTCTCCATCCCTAGGGTCAGTCAGCAGAGGAGGCAGGCGTCTTGAGATGGAGAAAATGAGAGAGCACAAGAGAGAGGGGAAGCAAGATTCTAAGGAGTGTCATTTCAAAAAAGGCCTTTAGCTTTGCCATATTTCCATTCCATGTATTAACTGGCCTTAGTGAAAGAGCTCCTCAGATGTGTGTATTTTCTCAGTCTTTGAGTGATTGTCTGTCCAAGTCTTTCTTTTCACCCTTGATTTGTGTTGACAGTGTGTCTTGGGGCAACTACTTCACAAATGTTATCTGCCTGTCTTAGCCTAAACACTTTTCTCTGACCTCAGTGTTGTCTGTAACACATGGAGAAGTGTTTGCAAAATAATTGTTCAAACAGGCATTTCTCAGTCTGACATTTGTTTATTTTTGCTCTAAATATATATGTTCAAACGCACTGGACAGTAAGCTTAAGAAAATTTAACATTTTCAATTATTTGCATTGTTTTTACCACAGAAATCATTAAGGCCCTTGTGACCCAGAGGTATTTTCTCCTTTTTTTTGTTTTTTAGGGTGCTATGAGGTAAAATAGCTGAAGTTAGGTGTGTGGAGAGGCCTGCTGTGTTTGCAAAAATGTTGTAAAAGCAATCCTCTTTGAAATGCTCAGTGCAAAGATGAAAGGCTTTCGGAAGTTTAGCAGGTAGATTTCCTTAAAAAATAGAATCTATGCGTCTTTGAGGGCTCAGATGAAGGCAGTAAAAAAGAAATGTCTCGTTGTTGCAGCCATTAACAGAGCAGCTGCTGCACTTAGCTCTTTGCTTAGCCCTGTCTGTTTGGATGCTTGGTGACGGTGAGCTTCGAGAAAGCACCTGCTAGAGGGCAGGCTCAGATGAGGCGAATGGTTATTTCCCAAAATGACCTCATAAAGGGCAATATTTTGAAACTGAGCATTTTGATCAGACATTAGCGAGACAGGTATGGGGCAAAAGAAGCCAAACGACCCCTATTCCAAAGGGATGGACCCATTTCCATTTCAATGTGCATGTTGTCTAAGCAAAATTAAGGCTTTGTTGGGCTACTGTATAAAGCAACTGAACGCTATTTCTGTAATTTTAATTGAAAAAGCTTCCTGGATGGGAAGCAAACTGTCTTCAAACTTCGAAACAAAGTCCAGTGGTTGTTTTTGTTTTGGAATTATGGAAATTTAATGGGAAAAAAAGCTTTTTGGGGTCATAGAATGATTCTATAGGGTATTTGGTGCTGGTTCTCAAGGTCTCTGAATACCGTGTTTAACATTGGTTGGGCTGAAATAGGCATATTTGCTGTTCTATGAGCCCTAATGCAAGCCTGGTTAAAAGCCTTAGAAGGAAACGACAGGTTTTCGTCCTTTTATGGTATGCTCATGAATATTTAGATGAGCCGTGCTCTGATTGGCAGCGAAGCTGCTGAGTAAAGACGCATCATAGCAACAAGCACTCACTCACTAAAACATTAAAATTGTTGATATGGTAGGGTGATCAGACGTTCCCTTTTTGTCAGACATGTCCTCCTTTTCAAACATAAAAAAATGTCTGGGGGGAATTTCAAAATCGTCCAGGAGATTGGTCTACTACAGTGCAGTCGCCCCCTTGGGCCAGTGAACCAGTGGGCTGTTCTGTATGTCGATTTTGGGGCATGACAGAAGTAAAGGCCAGAACCACATAAGGCAATATTCTGAATTTGCCCATTTTATGGTGGAAGTTTAGAATTGTGAGATTTGCAGAGAAAGGAGGTGTCGATGGGGATTGAACTTCTCTGTATGTTCATTTCACCCACTGAACTATCGTTATTCATCTATCACAATATAAATTCTGTTTTGCATTCTATGACCCCTTTAGTGGTTATCAACTTCTGACATGACCTGATCAGATGAAACTGCAGACACTGGAGAGCATTTTAGTGCAGGGGAAACACTTCTCTCTTCAATGCATCTTCAGTGCTTTCACATGTTGTCTTTGAAGTCTCCAACAACACAAAAAAAAGTCCCCAGTTGCACAGACCCAGATGAACACTGAATGAGAAATTAAAACCAAATACAAAAATGTTATGGTGATAACTTAAGGCCAGGTCACCTTGGTTCCATCTGACTATGCCTAGCTCTGATTCTATTTGTTTTCTATAACAATAGCTGCAGTGTAGTATATAGAGAGGCTCATACTACTCAAAGGGTGAGCAGATCCCAATCTACGCAGAACTGTGCCACATTTTTCATCACCGTCCCAGAGTCCCACAGGTTAGCTATCTATGAGCTCTAAGTGCCACAACCTCATACCATCCAATTTTCATCAGATGGTAAATCGTGTGTGGAGTTCAGACCTATAATGTGCTGGTCATTTAAAATGCATGTGACTGGTCAGACTGCAAGCTATTCTCTGCAGCTTTGCTTGCATAGCTCCAAATGAGATAGACCTCTTTCGTTGCACTTATGCAGCAATTGGGGATTGGCAGCAGAAAGGAGACAAGGTAAGGGAAAAAAACATGTATGTTTCGAGGAAAATACAAAGTCAAATCTCTTAATCACAAGTCAAAAGAGACAGTTTTGCCCTTTTCAGAAACAAAGTGCATGTATAGGAAGTGGGGTAGGCTTGGACCAGCACACATTTCAATAAACAGTGTACTTTACCAATGTAAGGAGTTCATTATTACATAAGACAGATAAAGTGGAATACAGAGCCTCTTTGAGCTTGAAAACACTAATGGATGCTTAGGAGGGAAAAGGCAGTACATGTTCAATTTATTGCATCCACCTCTTTATGAAATATAAAAAATGTTGGCAAAAAAAGCACCTTGCTACTGCATTCACCATTTTGTAAACCACCCCATTCTCCTGTGCAGGATTTTAATTTTCCTTAAACATAGTTTTTATCATATGTCTTTTTATTACAATATTTTTTAAGCGCATTGTGCAGAGGTCATTAAGAAAGTAGGCTGCTGCTTTGTACTTTTTTTGACAGCTGGCCCAGCTCCGTAGCCGTTTCTGAAGCTCTGCATTCTTTAAATTTAAAAATGGCCATTGAATGTCAATTTTATGAGTGTTCATAAACTGACATAGTCAAATGTGGGACATTGTTTGAATTTGAGGCACACAGGGAAAGAGGTGGAAAATTCAGCACAGTCCTGCACAGACCTAGACATGTGCTGACTATATGCATAGCTAGTGTTTGTTGATGCATGCTAGCGGCAGAGGAACAGAAGAAAAATCTCATTAGAGCTTGCGAAGTTGGACGCAAATGGTTTGAGCTAGCCATGAAAAACACATAGCTTATCACGGAAACTTTGGGCCAAGCATACCACCTATCCAAAATAAAAAAAACACAATCTGATTAGATAGTCTTGGCTACATAATTTATGCAACATCTTTATGCAAACACTACTTTATAAAAGTCCACAATCATTCATTTTAAACCAATAGAAAATAAAATTGATCAATCATGAGAATTTGGATGTGCAATAAATGCCTTGGGGTGACTGTTTCATTTTCCCTCATATGATTCAGATCCTGGACCCCCAGCTGGAATTAAAGCAGTGCCCTCCTCTGCCAGCAGTGTGGTAGTGTCGTGGTTACCCCCTCACAAGCCAAATGGAATTATCCGCAAGTACACAATCTACTGCTCCAGCCCCGGCTCTGGCCAACCGGTGAGTTACAAGGGGGTGCATTGGATTTCGGTCATGAAATATTTATAAAAACTAGTAAGAGGTAGGTAGACCAGGTCCTTAAAAGAATTACCTTCCTTTGTGGACCATTGTGTCATGTGAATGATGGCAATGTCATTAATATTTTTTCGGAGTTTCTACATGCATATCTGTGTTTCTCTGTGTGTGTGTTTGAGGCCTATTGCTGCAGTCTCAGCAAGACGTGCATGAAATTATCTCTCTCATACTGCAGTGTGTGTGCATGCAAGCTCACCCTCCAGCCTCATTTACATATCTGCGTCTCATCTCGTTGCCAGGACAACCTCATCTGTTCATCAACCTGGGTGGAAAATAAGCCAAAAGCAAACACCCCCCTCACTCTCTCTCTCTCTCAAATGCATACATGCACACAGAAACACATGATTTTAAGTGGAAAACATTCAGAAATGTATCACACCCTTCATGAAGGGCTTCATTCATGCACAGTATACATTTGATGTTTCTTTTATTACCGTGAATTCAAAAGCAACAAATATATTTGCTGTTGATAGACACACAAGCATGCTCATGCACCCCACAGACCTTTCAAGAAATATAAATGCATCTTGTTCTGCACCTCCCTCACTCACAAATCATTCCTTATATCTACGCATCTATCCATCTATCTCTTTCTTTCGGGTCCCCTCTTTCTGTCTCCCAAGCCCCCATGCAGCGTTTGGGATGATTACTATGTAAATGAGTGCGACTGGAGAAGGGGAAGGAGGGATGGGGGGAGGGGGGTCAAACACTCCGCATGGGGAGTACTTTTGTTCCTCTTTTCATTATCTTGCTCTATCGTTCCCCGGATCATCACTATCTCCACACAAGAGGAATATATTTTAATATCCGTTACAGCAGTGCACACTTTGTCAATCCTTCCTCCCAAGATCTTCCCACCTGTACTGTACGATCATCCTACTTGCTGCAGAGAGTATAGAGAGGGATTTACAGATACATAAAAATAGAGCTGAGGACAGGGACTGCAGAAAACACAATAGGTTATCTTTGGATTGATGTATAGATAAGTGGAATTACAGGGAAAAGTTCTGACAAGAAAAATGAGGAGATAGATAAGCAGTCATAGGGGAATAGAAAAATGTGTGCATTCGATAGGAAAATTAGATAATGGTGGCACCAATAAAAGGAAAAGAACACATTAATGTCTTAATAACTGTGAACGTGTCTGCCATTTAGGAGAAAATAAAGTTTACTTTAGTGCTGCTGGGTTTGTTTGTGCTTCCTGTTAATTTATTTCAACCCCTTGTTGCCTATATGTGTATTAAGAAGGGACAGAGAGAGCACATTATACTTCGTAAGGAAGCTTAGGTCCTTCAGCGTTTGCAGCAAGATGCTACTTATGTTCTACATGTCTGTTGTGGAGAGTTGGGACCTCTTTTGCCATCATCTGCTGAGATAACAATATTAGAACTAATGACTTAAAAAAGCTCAACAAACTAATAAAGAAGGCAAGCTCTGTTCTAGAAACTAAAAGACTATTTCACAAACATAATTTTTCATAAAGTGAAGAACATTATGGGCAACAGTGAGCTTTTTTTTCAGAGGATTATTAAACAACAATGTGTCTTCAATAAGAGGCTTCTCCATTTCTGGTTCAAGACAGACCAATACAGAAGATCTTTCCTGCCCAAAGTTATCAATGCCTACAACACATGGATAAAAATATGAGTTAATTTCCCTTTTGGATTAATAAAGTATTTTTGAATTGAATTGAATCTATATATATATAAATATATATAGATTTTTGCCTTTAACCAGTGTTCAAATTGAAATTTCTAACCTTTCTATTTATTGTAAAAATTAATAAAAAGTGGGTGACAACATTTGTAACGGTCAATCGGTCTTTGTCAGACACGTGACTGACACGCCCCCTAGCGCCATTTTTGTGGTGAGCGGAAGAAAAACAAAACAGCAGAAAACAAGAGGAGAGCGCTGCCAGCAGTGAGGATTATCAGTTAAATGGAAAAGAACAAGAAAACTGAACGGATACCCTACCCAGACAAACTTTCTAAAGCTGCTAGGGAACGATATTATATATTATTATTATAGTGACAAGGCAGATGTTGTGGGCAGTTGCACAGATAGCTGCAGTTATTAGAGCAGTTTGTGCTGCTCATCAGACTGAATGAAAAAACTTGTCATAATTTTTGCACATTGATAAGTTGCACACTGTATTTGCTGTTCACTTTACCCAGGCCTGTTTTCACTGGGATCTGCAGTCTTCTTCACAGATATCACCTGTTAGGTAATATCTCTACGGAAGACCACAGACCACAGTGAAAACAAGTCCTGGGAAAATGAAAATCTTCTAATTTAATCTAAAGAGCAATCTGCTATATACGAGGGAGGAAGAAAAAGTAAAACATTTGAAGCTTTGCACTGTTCTGCATTATTTATGTATTTGAGATTTTGTATTGCATTTTCATAAATTCTCTGCTTGATTGAAAAGATAATAACAACACTTGTTTCAAATTTCAAATCCACTCTTTATTGTACACACATTTTTACAACTTCAGAAACATTGTTAATATTTGAAGTGATGGTGAAACTTATATTTGTTTTGCTGTTATTTTTCAAAAGTAACTTTAAAAAAAGCAAAATTCTATTTGTGTGAAAAGAAGAATAAAAAAAGAAGAATAAAGTTGAAACAGTACTTGATCTTGCATTCATTTATTAGCTGGTTTCTCTGTGAAAATTTCAAAACAGTCAATAATCACTGTGACTCTATGTCCAAAGGTCTCCACAAACTGATGAGGCATAATTTTGTGCAAGGTGTCTCTATCTGGCCACACAATTGCACGCTTTAGATTTGCATATAAAAATGACACCATTTCATTGAATGTTCTGTACACTTACTTTGGTGAAACACGGAAGAGATAAGCAAGGTGTTGTGAGGGCAGATCCAATCTCAGACGCATGAAGGTTAACAGAAGCATTTGAAATGGACTGAGAATTTTATTTTGAGCAGACATGAGAGGCAGCAAAAAATTAAACAAAGCCATAAAGGTTGCCAAGTTTGGTAGACCCGTATAGTACTTGACTTTTTCATTACTGTCTCCAAAGAAGCCATCAGAGATCTGAAGCTCATCAAGTTCACGCCGCAGCTCTCTGTTTTCTTCCAAAAGACGGTTCATCTCTGCACACCTGAGCACACACAGGTTACATTCTGTCTGTCCTTCCTGTCCTTTCATCAGCCTGATGGAGCCCCGTTTCAGTTGCTTGCAGGGCATTCTTTTTCAGCTGTTCCCGATAACCACGTCTTAAAGAGCGTTCTGTGTCTGTTGGTCTGATGTCAGTGTGGCCCAGATGCAGGGATGGAGCCCAGTCTGGGTCAGTCTCCATCATCTCATATGCGGGTTGACCTGCAAAGTAGATGAAAGGTTGAGTGTTTTACACATCTATTCAAAACACCATATAAAGCACCTTAATAACAGAGCCCATTAGATTAGATGAGTTATAAAATAAGATATGCTTATGTTTCCCACAGTGGGGAAATTTGCTATACCGAAACAGCACAAGTACATCGGACTAGTAAGGCCAGAGGTAAATAAATAAACTGAAAAGCTTACAGGACGAACAAAGGATTATAATAAATAAACTTAAGTAGATTGCACAGGATGAATTAATGCAGTGAGTTGGCTGATGAGTGGGTATGTACAGTGTTTTTATATGTACAGTGTTTTTATATGTACACTGTATTTATATATATTTATTCATAAAAAAATATATTTGTATTGCAGATTGTGTAAATGATTATATACAGATAATGCATTATTTATTAAATTTTAGCGGTCTAAAAAAGAAATATAACAAACATCACTTTCCGCTTCTCTTCCACAGCATATTTCAGTAGGTTTACATGAACTCCTGCAACTTTATAAGCAAACCATTTCAGCGTGTTGATTTCTATTAGTGTATATTTATAAGGACTTACCTTTGTGAAAATGCCGAGAGCAAACACGAACATGAGGAGATATTTTATGAAACATGATGTCTTTCCTTCTTACAGCAGCGACCCACGGAGCCCGACGCCTCTTTGTTAAGTCCTCTGTCTGCGCTCCGTATTTTTTTTCCAAGTGGGGAATACGAAAAACCGTACGGCCCCATCGGCTGTTTTCTGTTTAGAATTACTATTGCATCCTTTGACGCAGCACCAGTGTCCCATTATTTCCAAAGAAGCAACTAGAACACGTCTGCTCTCTGTTAGTTTTCTTTTCTTCGTTGCTGCTGTCTCTTCACCACAGAAATGGCGCTAACTACCCTAAATGAATTGCGCTTTTGCGGAAGTGACGTACACTGTCACAGACCGATTATAACGTACACCGTTAGTGAAAAGTTGTGATGGAAACAAGAATTTGTGAAAAACCTGTAACTGAGGGAAGACGCATGCTATTTTGCTATTTGGCTGTGTACGTAATACAAAAGGATTATTCTATATTTGCAATCTCGGGCTTCAAGGGGTTATAGTACCTCAACAGATACAAAAATAGCTCACCCTGTGTCTTTTTCAGTATCTCTGTCCACACTAAAGAATGTTAGTAACTTAATCCTATACAATCCTACATAGACATAGGTGTGAAGAGTTCATTGAATCTCTCTTAAACAGATCAGCAATTAATGTATCTGTGGACCTCTAATACCTACTCCATTCCAGATTAGAAGGGCTGAGCTCAGCTGATCTAGGAAACTTAGATCTCATGGTTTTGACCTTTACTTTAGCTTTATAACCCATTTGACTCCAGTATGATTTCCTTTTTCTGCTATCTATCATAGATTTAAGTTCTGTTAAATCACTTAGGTGTGTTAAAACACGTTTTAGGTGGTGGAAGATATTAGATGGTGCCGCCACACCTTTGTGTTACATTTGTGATCTTGTTTTCATTTTATCACTCTATCAATACTTCAGCTGAAAGCACAGCAACAGACTGAATGGCCAAGGAAGCCTGTGGTAGGTGTAAGTCTTATGGTGTGAAGAGTAGGACGTAACATGTCTGCGTCAGGTTGTGTGTGTGTCCAGAACGGTGAGTTAGCTCATGAGTAGGTGTAGAGTAGGAGTTGAGGGAATACAGGTATATTGGTGGGTTAGAGGATAGTGATTGACAATAAGAAAAAAAAATAGGGCAATGTTTGCCTTGTGAAAATGTGTGATTGTGTGTGTTGAGGGGAAAGTGATCCGTACATGTCTAGACAGCAGACGCATGGCTGGGTTAAACACACTCCAATTACATATCCACCTCCAGGTTATATATGTCACTCTATGTGTGTATCTATTGGTGTGTCAGGGCCTTCATGCATGTGCATTTGTGTGTCCCTCTATGTTTTTCTAACCATTTCTGTGTCTCTGTGTATGGGTATCTCTTTGCCTCTGCCCCAAAAGGGATCCTAGACATGACTGTTCATGATATCGTCAAATGAATAATTTGTCTGTTCTATGTTAGCTTCCTCTGTCATATATGTGATTCTCAAGAAGAGTGGAGGGAAAGCAAGGGGTTTCCTCTCCCCAGTCTAACCTTCAGATAATTTTTTTATTTTACTTGCTTTTCTCCCTGCCTTCAGCTTTTTACGTTCATACAATTTTGCATCATAACATGTCTAATATGCCTCTGCTACTTAGAGTAGATCTCATCATTCTGTATGTTCTACCTCAACACAGTTTAGATAAAACACACTGCATGTAGAACTAGGTTAAAATTACTGCAATACTCACTTAGTCTTTTACATTACATCAACTGGGGAGTGGTGGCCTAGGGCCTACAGTAACTGCTAGGGCATAGTGCTTAGAATCCTGAGGTTCTGAGTTCAAGCCCCACTACCAAAGACTGCCACACTGGGTAAGACCATTAACCCCCCCTGGGCACCCCACGATGGCAGCCCGCGGCTCCCCAAAGGGATTGGTTAAATGCAGAGGTAAATTTCTCCAATGTGTGATCAATAAAGTTCAGTTATTTTTTTACTTATTTATTATTATTTAACTGTGCCTTGAAAAAAAGAAGTAACCCTTTAATTCTTTATAATCTTAACACATTATACAAACAGTAATCGATTTATTGGGGGTATTTATGTTGTATACCAACACAGTATAGAACATAGTAAAGGTATACAATGATATACAATTTTAGTCCCCTAGACTCTCATATCCTTAAAGGTATAGTGGAGGATGTTCTTTTTCCAGGTGGATCGTCAAAATAAATGGTCCTCCTAATTGTCAATCATTCTGGTGATATGTTTACAAAAGGCCGTCCTACGTGCTCGCCTCCATTTTCACTTACCGGTGGTGAGTCTTACGTAGTGGATGCATACAGCAACTTTTAAACAGGGCATACACAAGGGGAAATGGGCATGTGCATGCTCTTGCACGTGATTATAGATGTTCTCTCTCAAGAACAGGGCAGGGTTGTGCATGTGCATTTTTTTTTTAATAAGTAGTTCAAAAATTCGCCCAAATCCTCCACTATGTCTTTAAGTGATGCAAGAATTGTGCTATGGGAATGTTTTTTTTTCAGCTTTCACTGGGAAGCAGATCAGAGTCAGTAGGGATGGATGTGGCTCAAAACATGACAATTTTGTAAGACTAGACTGTGGTTGAGTTTCAGATCCTAGCAGAACAACTATAAACATCCAGTATCTTGATTCAGTGGTCAGATTCAAATCCAATTGAGATGACCTAGCTATGCAAACTAGGTAAAACAGTAAAAAGCACATTGTCATCCAGACTCAATCCTACATATTTGTGATTTCTATCTGCTCCATTACACCAAATCTATGCAATTGCATTACCTTCTCAGCAGCTCTTAAAGGATACAGACTTTTGTCATGATTAGTGTTGCGCCAATGCCATTTTTTTGGCCCTAATACCGATACCCAATACCTGGCTGTGCAGTATTGGCGATACCAATACCACACTGATACCATCTGTTTGAAAATGATGTGTGTGTGTATATATATGAAGAACTGCATACTACTTGGATGTAAAATAATTGTCGTCATGGCTTTGTCAAGCTGCTGCCTACCTTTGTGAAGCAGGAAGAAGACTAATACACAGTAAATCTAGTGAAACTTTTTATTGCCTACCTGGAATGGGTGACAATAGATAAATAAATTTTTGGCTGTCAAAATGGTATCGTTGCCCTATTTGTTGGTACTCACCGATACCACCATTTTAGTGCTGTATCGGGCCCTGTTCGATACTGGTATCGGTATCGGTGCAACACTAGTTATGATTAATTGATTTAAATCTGATAGAATGAGGCAAGGAAACCCCTAAAACATGCAAGACTTTTGCTCCAGGAGACCATGGTTAAAGACAACTTCAGTAGAGCACATTCATCCAATCATACAAACACTTACATGTTCATTCTCCAAAGCACAGATAAGTATGTGCCCAGATTGAAAGCTTATGCACTCTTTGTTTTTGTCTGTATTTTTTTTAGCTTCCAAGTGAGTATGAAGCTAATCCAGAACTCCTACTTTATCGAATCACCCACCTGAACCACCGACAGCAGTACCTGATCTGGGCTGCTGCTGTCACCACTGCGGGCCGTGGAAACTTTAGTGACAAAGTTACCGTGGAGCCAGCTGCCAAGGGTGAGTCCTTTTATGTCATGTTGACATAGTTCAGCCGCTTTGGGTTCATAGTTCAGAGCTTCATTATATCAAATGTCCTCCACAGTACTTCCCAGTTAATTGAAAACATGGATTAAAGACTCTACATTTTAACAACTTATTTAATATTATTATGCAATATACAAATTTTTGTCAAGTATTTCTAAAGGTATAGAGCAAAATATCTGATGTTGCTTCTCTGGTATTCATAGACTAACACAGAAAATTGAAAACTGACATTAGTAATTATATTATCAGACTATCTGCTTTCTTTGAGTCTTGAGTCACAGTGTTTACTTACAAGCTGCTCATAGCCAGCCAACTGTAGTTCTACACCATTGTTTAGCTTAATAAGAATGATGTTTAGTACAACTTAATATTCCTCAGCATCACTCCAATAGCTATGTTTCTTGTTCTAGAGGGTAAGGGAAAATGAAGTAGTCCTTTATAAGCCAACTGACTGACGATGAGCAGCAAGAAAGGGATGAGAGGTAGCACTACATAGTACTACATTCCATTAAGGCATACAAAATGTTCACTTAGGATTTTCTCTTTCATCTCATTGAAATTAATTGTATATGTAGGAAGTACTGTAGGACCTCAGCATATACTTAGCTTTTCTTAGATTTTGCATTTTTGTTTCAGACACAAGTCTGCAGGAATTAATCAGTTGGTCTCTTTGAGTAAAAAGAATGTAGAAACTAGTTACTCAACAATACCCCTCAAACCAAGCGTAAGTAGTATTATACTAGCAAAATTATGTATCTTGTTCATCATTAAAAACATTTGCCATCTTTTAAAAAAAAGAAAAAAAAAAGAGACTGGAGGGTGTTAAAATTATTAATCAAATAGTAAAAGCATACATAAATCTTGTCTAAAATTATGAATTATGTTTTGGACAGCATCCTTTAAATCATTCACCTACAAGTCTATAATTAACAGATGTGTTTTTTAAAAATAGGTAGCAGAAAGTTGTCATTATTTGTGCAATTAAAAATAAAAGGGGATTATTTAGGTATTTATGACATATTTCATTTGAGTCTATTGGGTTGATTGTTCTTTTAACTGTTTGTACCTTTGTATAAACCACTGTGACACTATTAATGCTGGAGTGGTTGCTGCTCTTCAAACCTCTTACTAGGTTAGGAATAAAAGCCAGTTTCCTGAAGGATGTTTTTTCCTAATATCACTCAACTTCTTCTCACTTTGTCCCTCAATTGGCTCACTTCTTGATTGATTTTTGTATTGCTGCCTGTTAAGACTTCATAACGGTATCCAATGATTTAAGAGTTCAAGGTGCAAATAAAATGCCTCCAGCCAACAAGATGATCAGGGGGAAGACAAACAGCTGGAAAAGTAACAAGAGGAAGACAAAAAGGAAACAAGGAGAGTACTCAACAGGAGTAGACTAAGCTACACCAGACAGAGGCAGGGTTCAGGAAGTGAGCATGTCAGTTACAGTTAATCAATAGGCTTTTAGATCCTAATGTAGAATAAAGATGTATGAATGAACTACCCCTTTCTTTACCTCTTCATTCCTCTGATCGCTAAAGGATTTTCAGCGTGTTAGTGTGGGTGCTTGGGTCATCTGATCAGCAGCTGTTAGAAAAAACTGTTTCCTCCAGGCTAGCACACTCAGTACTTAAATTAACCTTAACACAAGTGCACAAGAGCACAGCCATTAAGACACCAAGAATGGAGAAGAAAAAGAAAGAAAAGCTGATGGAGTAGCATTGAAAATAGAGGCTATTGTTTTCTATCTTCTGTCTTTCTTCCCTCTTATAATCTTTCTTTCTTTAATGTTATGGGTAACACAACATTTTAAACTACATGTCTTAAAAATCTGAGATAATGTTTTTTTTAAACATTTTCAGGATGCTCAGTACAGTATTTAAGAAAATTCACTGATAAACAATGGAAACATTGTCTAATCGCATAATACCATGGTGCTCTCGAAGAAGCTAAAAAACATTGTTAGGTTCATTATTTTTAGAATGTTATAACAGAATTATGCAATAAAGTAACCAAATAAACAAATTAGTTCTTCACTTTTTAAATTTTAAGCCTTCTCTATGACAGTGCCAGTCAGCTCACTAAATTATAGTAAAAAAAAACTTGGCTGAGCATAAAATAAGAGAGCATACAACTTTGAAAACTGTTATAAAGTGTCTACCATAAGCAAAAAAATGCTGAACAAAGTATTAACACTAAGAACACCTATATCTGTGGCCCATTAATAACAAATATTGCTTTTTGTATAAATTTTTTTAATTAAGTAAATACTCAAATTAAATTTTGGAATTGTACTCTTTTGCTTTTCATTTGAGTTTGTGCTACTACAAGAAAAGATTGCTTTATTTTAATGCTTTCACACATATATGCCAGGGGTGCTTATAGATGTGCATGCTGCTGTATTGGATTACCTTTAGCCATTTTTGCATTTATGTAAAATAAACCCTTTCATTTGATTCTACATTCATCTTTACATTTTTGAACAGCTCCTGCCAAAATCCTATCATTTGGCGGTACAGTAACCACTCCATGGATGAAGGAGGTGCGTCTGCCTTGTAGTTCTGTGGGTGAACCAACACCTTCAATAAAATGGACGAAAGACAGGTGATCATCTTTTAATTACATAAAAGTAATTATTCATGTAATATGTGGTTAAGTCCTTAAAATAATTAAAACAGAAAATGTTTTTAGCTTTCTGCTTTGGACCGTTGTAATAGAAAAGTTCAATCAAATGGTGGGGCACTTTGATATGAATTTGTTACTATTATTTGTCGATAATGTTTCTTATTTTCTTTTAGTGAGGATACAGCGATCCCAGTGTCTGTCGATGGACAGCGCTTAATTCTGGCCAATGGAACACTAGTGCTGCGATCTGTGAAAGCTGAAGACTCTGGTTATTACACATGCACAGCCACCAACACGTTGGGCTTCGACACCATAATAGTCAATCTTTTAGTGCAAGGTATGAACGTATGATTTCAGTTGGAATATTTGACTTTTTAAAAATAATCTATCATCTATCAAACATGCCATTTAAAGTATCTAGACTTATCTTTGATTTTATATTTTTCAAGAGAAAAAACTAAAATTTCATAATATGGCACTTGTATTATAGCAATGTATAGTACTCAGTGTAAAGTTTCTCTTCAAAATAAGTCATCCCAGACCCATTAGTGTTTTAACCACTAGCAACAAACTTAGTATCTCCCTAATTTACATTACCAGTGACAACATAACTTAGTAGGGCAATGTTGCAGACCTTGTGCTTCACCACTTTTTTTGACGACTCCACAGAAGCTCAATTGGTTTTAGGTCTAAAGATGTGCTTAACCAGTTGTTTTGCAATCAGAATATATTTATTGTACTGGGCAATAAAGTGTTTAATGAAATTATATATGGACTTTCATATATTGTTCTGTGAACACAGGCCTGACTGGTGGTGTCCTAGAACAATAAATGAAAGACCTAACTGAAGACCTAACCTGTTTGACCTCTAAACTGGTTAAGTCTCTCTTTTTGGCCCTGAAGACCAAGAAGAGAGACTTAACCAGTTTGGAGATCAAAGTTCTGCTAACAGAGAGTTGAGCAGCAGAATTGAAGGACCAGTAAAACCCAAGCACTGGGAAATAAATTACAATATCTGTTTATGCTGTGTCAGCTGTAGGATGTTGTTACAGAAGTAAAAATTAAAATCTTTTTTCCAAATATATGAAGAAAAATTTCTTGCTAATGCAAGAAAGTCAATGTAAACTATTTGTGGAGGCAAGAGGTGCATCATATGATGTAAATGTCTAATATGATTTTGCTACAGTATCAATGAATACTACTAAACATTCTGCAAAATCTCCTTTTAGTACACACACACACAGGCCTACTATACATCTCCAGACCATGTCTATCATCACACTCTCCATATCTCTCAATGCAAAAACATAAAAATGTTGACAGCAAAATTCTAATTTGATTAATTCAGACAGGTCCTAACCCAAAAATTACACATTTTGTGTAATAACAAAGCCAATAAGTATTGTCCCATGACAAGATGTTATAAAGTATGTATAGGACTGTGAGGGGTATATTCAGTTTTGTGTGGTATTGTATTTACAGACATTTTGTGCACTGACCTCTCTTTGCTCTTTCATAGTGCCTCCAGATCAGCCTCGTTTGACAGTATCCACCACCTCCACCTCTTCTATTACCCTTGCCTGGATTCCAGGGGACAATGGAGGCAGCTCCATCAGAGGCGAGTTACCCTACCAAAATATTAAGTCTCTTTGTTTTGGTTGAACATAAACAAGGATTAATTTAAATGAAATGACATGGCAACAGACTGCCTTGATGAGCGTGACACAAGATGCTATTTAAAAAATATTTTAAAAAAACAAGTCATGTTTCCGGAACAGAAGGACCCAAAATTCAACGAGAGACAGACAGTCGGATAATTCAAAGCATTTATTAAACTGAGCGGGCATGGTATCAGCGGCTTGGCAGTTTATCATTGGAAACTCTGTTTAAAGAAAGGTTAGTGACCACGTAAATCTAATGGAGGAAGAAAAGAACGTGAGTCACTAAATTGCTTTAACAGTTCAGTTCATCTCCAAAAAACACGGTAGTATCCAGCCAGTGGGCTGTCAACAAGATGCAGCAGGCAGCCCCCAGAGTGTCCCAGATGCTGCAGCGATGGATAACATGCAGGAGTCTGAAGCCAGGTCAGGCATATAGATCAGAATAGGAACATGCAGGCTCAGAGGTCCATGAGTCCAAAGACAGTTCAGGCAAACCGTTCAGACGGGAACAGCCAGGCTCAGTGGTTGAGAGGCAGATCGGGTTAGGATTAGGAAATCAAAAACACTATGGTACTCTAAAAGCCACTCTCTCCAGTGAGATCAGACAGTAACAGGCACGCAAGTGGATGAGAGGCATATCATGTCAGGATCAGGAAATCAGAAACACTATGGTATGCTAAAAGCCATTCTCTCCACTGAGATCAGACTGGTACAGGCATGCATAGTGGATGAGAGGCAGAACAGGTCAGATAATCAGAAACACTATGGAGCGCTAAAAATCCTCTCTCCACTAGCCCTCGAGAACAAGAACAAGATAATCTGACCCTAGGTCAGCTGGGTTGAGTACTTTAAATAGAGGCAGGAGCAGGTAGATCAGATGAGCGGTAATGAGCAACCGGGCAGAGTAGACAGGTGAATGGAATGAATAATGAAGCCAGTCATCAGTGCCAAGACATGGCAAAACCAAGTTTGTCAATGTTCTTCGCAATATTTCTCAAACTGCAAAATACTTACCGTAAATTCTCTAATATAGGCCCGGGCCTTTATTTCACTCAAGTGCATCGCGGTCCAGGCCTTTATTGGATAGAGGCCAGAATTAGAGACAGGCCTCTATTGCTATTTGAGCAAAACAGACTACCAGTGGAATGAATAAAAATGAGATTTTGCGTCTATTTGAACCTATAAAACACTAGGTTCATTTATTGAAAAAGTACAGTTACCATGTCTCGCTTGGTTTGAAGTAAAAAAAAAAAAAAAATCCTCCAATTCTGTTTAATTCTCCTCCTCAGTTTTTCTCCTCCTCTTCATCTCTCCCTTTAATCTCCTCATCACTCGCGCTCCTCCTGTTCTGCTGCGTGTCTGTTCTCTTCCTCGCGCAGACGGGCAGCAGTCAGGGCCTGTCGTCCAGCTGCGCAGGGCTGTGGTACTTGTATGTTACTTACTACCACAAGTATAATGTTGAGGTATGCCCAGAAAAAACGTTCATAGCCCCGGCCTGTATTAGAGACCGGCCATTATTTACCTCCTCTGACAGCGAGACCGGCCAATGTTAGAGTCCCGGCCGCTATTGGAATACAGGCCAATATTAGAGAATTTACGGTATTTTAAGATATATATTCAAAATGAAATAATCCATCCAGATTTGGCCAGGTCGTATATTAGCTCTCATGTTTAGTTTATTTAATTTCAGTTCTAATGTTAAATTGGGTCGGTTAATTGTCCTTTTTTTGTAAAAAAGTACAGATAAATTGTTCCACTGCATAATTATTTAAGTTAAGAGCTTGTGTTTTAAATAGAGGTCATGAAATTCCTAAAAGTTTATTAAAAGGCAATGATACACTAACCTGACAACAGCCAGATGCATGTCTCGCTCCGCCTAGCTCCACTCACATACATCTGGGACACCGCCATAGGAATTGCCTTTACTGAAGGCTGGGCCTTATCAAAACTCCTTGCATATGATTGGATAAGCCACTTGTCTGTCATCTTTATCGATGTGCTATTTCAACCACTCACACCGAAGCTACCCCGTGACGCTGTGAGAGCTACGCATGAAAAAAAACAAAACAGAACAGCCGACATCTTGGATATAGCAACAGTGGAATCAGCGCAATGTCGGTAAATGATCAATGTCGTTTGTGCCATGAAAATGTGCGGATAAAAGGCAACATTGTGCACAGCAGACTTATTTTAAAAAAAGAAGCCAACCAAAAAAGTATAGACGAATGACTTACAGAACTCGCTTCTCCACTACGTCACATGCAGGACACAACGCCCTGCGTCCTGATTGGCCAGACCATAAATTCGGTTGGGGAAATCACTTTCAATGAGCGTTGTCCCAGATGTATGTGAGTGGAGCTAGGCGGAGCGAGACATGCATCTGGCTGTTGTCAGGTTAATGATACACAGGAACACACTTTCTTTTCTGCTAATGGACAGTAATTGGTATTAGCTATACGGCAAGTTAAGATTAGACAAAAACACAGCAAGTAAATAAATACTTTCTACTTTCAGACAAGTGGCTCAACCATAGATCTAAGATTTTTGGTCCTCATTAATATTAATATTAATTACACAATGTTTAATGATACAGCCTAATAAAATTGACAATTGCTCCTAAGCAACAGCAAACATAAATTTAGTGAAAAACTAGGTTTGGAATACACCTGACTGATTGCATAAGAATTTGTTCATACCTGAGAGAAGATTAGAAATAGGAAAACACTGATGAATTAAATATTTTCTCCTGAATTACATATACAAAGGATCTAAGAACAATATTTTTTTTGTACGAACACTTTTTGCATGAGGCCAATGACTCTAGTGCAATCCCTCACACTGTGCATAGATACAACAGTGGAGAGGAAAAACTCCCTTTTAACAGGAAGAGACCTTCAGCAGAACCAGGCTCTGTCTGAGCAGCCTTCTGTCGAGGTTGATTGGGATTCTCGACAGGTTGATTGGAAGCAGACATACAAAATATAGAAGCATGGGTCTATAAATATTGCCTGCTACTCAGGTGGTTCTGTTTGGGAAAGAAACAGTTAAGCAGATGAACTCTCTGAGCCAGATCTCATGTCAAAGGGAGGACACACATTTATTCACAGTAAAAGCTGAGCCCAGAGTTATGTCTAGGAGACTGAACACTGAATGTCCATTCAGTGACATTCTTAGCGCTATTGCATTAGCTAACTCATAAATTATCTTGAGGTCTGCTATGAAATACATTTTCATTCATATTGTGTTAGCATTTGTATTTAAAGTGGTATTTGTCATATTCTTAGTAACATTAGAATTAGGGTTTACTCTTTATATTAATACTGTGAATTACCTTGGTATTCACTGCTATTTTATGCAAACTACATGGGTAAAACACACAGCTAAATTTGTTTAGAAAATATTTATCTTTGGTTTTAGTCAGACACTTATTTCAAGATGTAAGGGTAAATGACTTGTGATTTGTTGTCAACATAATTTAGGTAGGAAAAGGACTTATGCATATGTACAGTATTCTTTAAAAGAGAAATACGATGTGTAGTTATTTGTTTTTAGATCACCCCGATCCAATACAGTTCTGTTTTCATTAGTTGCAGATTAAAAAATAATCTTAATTAACAAAAACTTAAGACCTGAAAAAAATTGACCAGTGTGCAATCTATGTGTTTCACTTAACATACCAACAAAAATATTTATACTTTTAAATAACAGTCTTACATATGAATGGGTTTGTATAGCTTATACAGATTAATTTACCGGAAAATAAACACCTTAGATTTTATGTATAAGAAACTTATATATATATAATATATGACGGGGAAATATTTTGTTAAAAAAGAAATCATTGGGAAGACTTTACAGCAAACATTCTTCAAAACCTCATAGTCACAATAGGCCACTGTTTAAACAATATGGCATTTCACTAACTTGTCACCATAATCAACTAAAACCTACAAAGAATAAATGGAATATTGTCAAGAGGAAGATGATTGACATAAAACTAACAATGTGCCTCCTATATACCTCTGCAAAGCCAGACTGATCACTTCCACAACTACATCAGACTCAAGCAAAAGGAGCCCTGCCTAACAATGGGTGTATAATGCTCTCTATGTGGACATACGTTTCAAAGGGCAGAAAATTCTGTAATTAGTTTCTATTGGTATTGTGTGATATTATAATATTATAATATTATAATATTCTAGTTTACTGAGAAACTGAACTTAGGGTTTTATTTCACTCTAAGCAATTAATCAGTTAGAATAAGGAGGAATAATAAAACACTATGTTATGAATATACTTTATATAAGGTATGAACCCCATTTTTAAATTGAATTACCACATAAATATTGATATTCTAATTGTTTGAAGTGAACCTCTCGATTTTTACTGTCTATTAGTCATATATCGCTGTATGCTTTAATGTGTCTTTTTCGTTTCACATTTTCAGCATTCATTTTGGTCTATTAATTCATTGAGTGGTGTCTTGCTTTTATGTTTCCCTGTAAAATGTGTGTCTGTTTGATTATGGTATTATTGGTGAGCCCTTTGTGCGTAAGGCTGCTGTGTGTGTAGTTGAATAGGCATGCATGCAAATGAATTTTCAGCTGCTGTCTTTGTTCATTCTATTTATCAGGATAAGGGGTGGTGGGAGTGTTGCAGATTCATCTGCCTGATTTCATACTGCTTGTTTTGTCTACCTATAGATGACATATCACACATCAGCTCGTACAGAAAATTCTTAGCTTACTATATAGCTACATCCGGAGCACTATTTTGTGCATTATGGGATGGCGTGAAATGCTGAATAAAAATATATTTAAAAAATCATATTATTTGATTAACAATTTCATAATATAAAAATCTGTACAAAAACTCTGTACATACTAGTCACCAATATGTGGTGAATGTGTTTTGCACATACAAATGTGAAGTAATACAAAATAGACGTGCAAAATCGACATGCAGATTTTACATCAAAAAATGGTACTCCTGACTTGGTACTCTCTCTCTCTCTCTCTCTCTCTCTCTCTCTCTCTCTCTCTCTCTCTCTCTCTCGCTCTATATATATATATATATATATATATATATATATATATATATATATATATATATGTGCACCATTTCTATGTTTGCCTGTCTATAAGGCCTTCTGCAAAGAGACATTTCTGCAATATTCCTACATTTGAACCTGCAACATTTATCCTTGGTCTGAGTTTTCCATTCAGTGTGCATAGTGAAGAAAAGAAAATGCACTGGTTTCTAGATTTACAAAACGTTTAAGCTGGTAAAACCAGTATAATTTTCAAATCAGTTTCAAGTTTGTCTTTTACTGCATTTCTTTTTTTGGCTGTAGTGTGAGGTTCTTTGACACAACTTAAAACTTCCAAATACAGATCAAATTTAGCAACCAATGCAATGCTTTAGAGGATCTCATACCATATGTTTGAGTGAAAGTGGGGGTAAACCGACAGTAAAAAGAATATGGATGCAGAAAAGACACATTCAAATGTGTATAATTGCATTCAGATGATGAGGAACCAAGACAGACGGAGGGTTACATGGAAGGATTCTCAGAGCAGGAGGGAGCTGGCTCTGCAAGGACACTGATTATAAAAACAGTCCCCATATTGCAATCCCACATTTGCATAGATGCTCAGTCAGCACCATCCCAGGCTTTGGGTTTGTAGGTAACTAATGGCGGCATAGATGGAAAGCAGCAACATTTTGCAGTGTATTCCTGCTTCACTGAAAGGCTAGTCTTTCATTGCCATCTGGTGGACAGTAAATGTACCAATATCATGTGTAGAAAGGATTACATTACTTTTTAGTTACTGCACTTTACTGCATTTTTCCACAAATTTGTAATTTAAACAAATCTGTCAGAAGGAAAAATAATTACAAAAAAGAAGCATGGTAGGCTATATTTTTCTCGAATTGGAGGTTTACTTGAACTCATACAGATAAAGTCAACTATTTTTAAATAATATTATGTTTTTTTCTTTTTGTGCAGGTTTTGTGCTGCAGTATTCAGTAGATAACACAGAAGAATGGAAGGATGTTTTCATTAGTTCAACTGAGCGTTCATTTAAACTTGAGAACTTGCGCTGTGGGACCTGGTATAAAGTCAAGTTGGCTGCTAAGAACAGCGTTGGAGCTGGACGCATAAGTGAGATCATTGAGGCGAAAACCCATGGGCGAGGTAAGAGTATGAGATATTGAAGTAATCTATAATAAGACATAAAAGAGTTAGACATATATAAAAAGTATACATATTCATATAAAACTGTAAACAATGCTGTTGTAAAAAAAAATGTATTCAATTTCCTTTGAAAATCTGGTGTTTTATCCATTTTTCATGTAACTTTATTGTTAAGGATGTTCAATAATATAAGTATTGTGCACTAAGACATTAAAATAAGTGCTGACAAGATGTCTTCTCTTACTGAGACTTATTTAATGAGACGAATGCAAAATTATCTTTTGGAATATTTATTTCTTCTTCCATAAGGATGAAAAACATGCAGCCATTTTTTTCAAAAAGTAAATATTTTGTTGGAAAATGAGCAGTTTCAAAAATATTATATACCCTGCTGAGCCTAATATAGATAAAAGGGGAGGGGCTTGTTTAGCTACACTCATTTGCATAAAAGTGACAGCCCTAAAGTAGGCAATTCTCAAAGATGCTTTAATAGTAAAACGTATAGAAAACGTATTATCTGAGATTTATTTTTATTTTTGGGCAAAAAATGTAACAATTATGTTGTGTGTAGACCTATCCTAACTTGTTTAAATCGAGGCTTGATAGGTTCCCTTTAGAAGTGTAACTCTCTCATGTGGCCAAGCTTTCTGTGTTTGTTACTGTAGGTTGCTTTATTGATTAATACATTTCCAGAGTTATTGTACACTCACACATTTCCAAAATTTCACAATTGGTGGATTTCAATTAGTTTCTTATTTCCCAATATTATGATATTTGGAAAGTTACAACAATGCAGTTTGCTGCAGGAAAGGAAGGGTACAGAATGTCGGTTTGGAAATGATAGGGAAAAGATTAGCAATGTTCAGAAGTGATGGTATTCAGTCACTTCTGACCTTGCTCTTTTAACATTGTTTAGCTAAGTATATCCAAGTCTCCACATATACCGGTAGGTCAGTTTTTTACTGAAACAAAATTTTCATAAAGTATTGACAGTGGTCATGATTAAAGAAATGTAGAAGTTGGAAAGAATTACCTTTAGTTTTTGACAACTACAGTAGATGAATATATGAAATGCTTTGTCGGATATAACTCCTAGATTAAGTGAGCAGAGGAAGCAAAACACAGTTAAATAGATGTGATTTACTGGCTATAGCCAAGTTCTCTGGATACTTGCATATGAGATAATCAATAACCTGATTAGAGTTGTAAATAGTTGTATAATTGAAACCAGATGATTACACTGTAAGAAAAGACACAGAACCATTTCTCTCACTTTCTATCATTGAATGAGATCAAGCACCTCCTGTTTTAGGACAGTTATGGTTACCAAAAATGTTTTCTATCTGCTAAATACCAGAGTAAATATTGATATTCTTTTCAATTCATTCAATGGCAGAAGTGGAGAAACATTAGGATTTAAATAAAGTTAAACAATAAATAAAAGATACATAAAAAACACCATAATGATGATGTGACTGTGTTCTGATATTATCGTGCAGCTAATATCAAAGCCAAAAATAAGCAACCTGTTATGAAGATAACTATTGCAGTTCTCCTAAGGTAACTGGGAAGAAACTGTAGAAAGACTGTGCAAGCACAGAGGGAGGGAGTAGAGGAGGACCCATGTGTGCATCAAGGCTACAACTCATCCATTCCTTCCTTTTGTTATGCCATGGGGGGGTGGGAAAAGTACATTATCAACAAAATAATGATGGAGCTCCACTCAAAGTTCATCCTTGAGTACAAATTCCAAATTCCTAACTTAGGAATCCTAAGGATGCCATTTTATTCAATTACGTTTGTTTTATTTCAGCTGCTTTCGTATTCAGGGGTTTCTGCAAGAAGTCATTATAACTTGCCTGTCAAATTGCAAAGTTTTTACATTGAATGTTGTTCTTAACACAACCCCCCCAGATTGCAGTCAGATATTTAAACCACTATATCATGGGGGACTTCAAGCAATTGTACAGAACTATTAACTACATACAAATGTCCAGCCTTCATGAAGGAGACTGATTTTTTTTTTCATGACCATGTTGTCACACAAAAAACATGCGATATAATCTCAGAAGAAAAAAGTATCCAGTTAAGATACATGCTGGAGTTTGGTGGTTGGCAGGTCCCATATGAAACTCCTCTCTGGAGGGGAAAAAATGTCCTGTATTAGCTTTTTCTTTGTTGTAAAACTACCTTTTATATCAATTTTACTTTTATAGAACCTCAGTTCAACAAGGACCAGCCTATCTTCACCTACGTTAACTCCACCCACGCTCGCCTCAACCTGCAGGGTTGGGCCAGTGGAGGCTGTCCAATCACCTCTATGACACTGGAATTTAGACCAAAAGGTAGGACAATGGGTCCGTCTTTGTTTACTTTTGTTTAGCTAAAGATGTTGTTGTTTATTAATCTTACAGGTTTTAAATATAAATTTTCCATGGATTTCCATGGTAAACTACAAAATACCTGAAATAAGAGTTTGTATTTTTACAGGTATGTGGACATGGCAGAATGTCCGTACCAACGCCACCACAGACGTGTTTTTGGCAGAACTTCGTGAAGGCACCTGGTATGAGTTGAAGATGAAGGCATGTAACAGTGCTGGCTGTGGCAACCAGAGTTCTCAGTTTTCAACACCAAACTATGATGGCAGTGAGTAGATAATTATAATTTTTTTGCTTGTTGGTCTAAGCTGTTTCGACACTGCAGCCTTACGCACAGAGAGAATACCAATAATACCATAATCGAATACATATTTTACAGGAAAACATGAAATCAAGACACGACTTTTTTTTTTCTTTTTAGTGTAGTGAACTGTATTGATATAGTCATAAAAGAAGCTGCAGCCAGTATCTCTCTTGTTTTGTACAGGTACGATTCCTCCTATTAAATCCCCCTTGGAAAGAAATGACGATGTGAAGAAATTATTTTCCATTGGCTGTCCTGTGATTCTGGTCACCCTTGGTGTTGCACTGCTGTTTGTCGCCATTCGCAAGAAACGTAAAGAGAAGAGACTGAAGAGACTACGGGGTAAGTGCATGTGTTAGAAAAGACAAAGCATCCAAACATTATAAAAAGCCATGGCCATTGGCATCTTACTGTAGTGTTACAGGTATAAGGAAGCAATTTTGATGATGTGCAAAATACCGTTTATAGCTTAGGATTTAAGCAATACTTTCTGGGAATAATATCCTTCTTTGTTTTTTTGGTTTTTTTTTTTTACATATAGATTAAGGCTCTAACACACCTCAAAGTTTGTTTTATTTTATTTTTAATTTTTTGTCAAATACTCAAAAGCCAAAATATTGTAGTTTTTATTAAAAGAGAAAATCTGTTTAATGAGGATTCAGTTTTCATTCTCCTAACCAATCAATGCACTTTATGATATGAACTGAATATAATCAAACATGTGACAGACTCGTTAAAATCAGTAAAACAGCTATTTAGTTTTAAGCTGTTAGGAAGATCTAATAGAGATCCTAATTTTAGCATGGTTAGCAGTCAACTTTTGGCCAACCACAACAATCTCAGACTGCTGTCATGCCTTCATCATTCCTTTTTTTTCCTAAAGTGTTTTCTTATTTATCTCAATTATTTCATTGAATCACTTTTTTTTCATGACGATAACGAACCATGGATCTTTGATGACTAAAATATGACTAGTCATGGGTTTGAGTTTTCTTCAATAAGACAAGACAAAAATAAAAATTAGCAGGTGGTCAGTCAGATGTTAAAACTGCATCATTGTGCTGTAATCTGCTAACCAGTATCAACCGTGCTGCTGCGTCCACTGCTTGCTGCTTGTTTGGTCACGCAGCCCACCTGGCGTGCAGAGCTGCACATTCTACATGAACACAGATGGATCATAGCAGCAGTGGCAGGGGAGAAAATAACCAAGAATGGTCCAGTACTGCATGCTGAAACCTGACAAACTGATCGTCCAGCTGTGCTTGTGCAGAAATGTGTCTTTGCATGCGCATAGCTCAGAGTCTGCACTTTATGCTCCACACTGATGGTTTATTCTCCCCAGTATGGTTTTTCCTGCTCTCGCTACTCAATAAACTATGTGGCTGATCATCCTCTGCCAAGGCTAAAAACCCCTTTGTCCAACTATTAAGATTTTTATCTCTTCCAGCTCACAAGAGGTATTACTAAGCATTCTTTATTTTCTATCAAAAGGAATCCATAAATTATATCCAAAGAATTATTTCATTGCATACTGTGTATTTTTGGATAAAGCACCAAATGAAAAGGTACATAGATCTTTGGATATTTCTTTCTCATGATTCTCATTTCTATCTATTTAAATATGATGTTAATGTATTGTTATTAAAACATTTTTATGTTTCCTTTGAATATGTCAACATTTTAATTAGCATATTCATTAAATTTTGGTCTGCTTTGTCAGAGCATTACAAGGCAATTATGTAGGTTCTCTCTGTAATTTTTTAAAATCTACTTTGATCCCTGAGCAGCAGTAACAAAGGGGGAAATTCTATACCCAGGAATTGTAGGGTCTAGGCAAGAGTTGTCAGTCTGGTAAAGAATCTGTTTTTTATTCAAAGTTGTAAAGTTACCTTTTTTTGCAACATAAAACTGACTAATACTTCACTAAAACCTTTTTATGATTTTATTTAGATGAAATGGTGGTGGATTGCACACAGTAATCAGAGATTAATTGTTTAAAACCCTTCTGCTCAATACATTTTTTGCACTCATTTCCTATGAACTAAGACACAAATGTCTGCAAAAGGCTGTTTTCTCAATGCAGACATCAATAAACATTGACTGATGTGTAATTTAGTTTTCTATACAAACAATGAAGGGTTTAATGTAAAAAAAGATGATAGCTTTAGCGTAAATTGCTATGAATATTTCTGTGTCGATTTTGGTTTAATACAGACTCAGATATGGGGGTTCAGCTTCTACTTGGGGCTCATCCTTACTATTATTAATTTCTTTGATGAAAAAATAAATACATTATAATTATCAGGTGCATTTGGTTTTGTAGGACTTGACCAATACCTTAGAGCAGGGGTCACTAATGTGGGGCTCGCGGGGACCAAAGGGCCCTCAAGAACCACATGGGCTGCCCTCAGAGTCTTCTGAAAATAAAACAACTCAGTGGGCTAACTTTGAAATTTTACAATATAATGACAATGTATTAAATAGAATAAGTTAAAAGAAATAATAAAATATGTTTCATGGGTCAGTATTGGTAGCCCTTCCTATGACTCAGTACCCTCGAATTGGTCTTTAGCCATAAAAAGGTGGATGACCCCTGCCTTAGAGGTACCAGTGTATTTAAAAAAACATGAAAGTTTGAAGACAGTTTTCTAAAGGTTTTAGGAAAGCCTCACTTTAAAACTATTGAGATGTTCCTATAAGAGATTAGTCTAACATAATAAAAATAATAAAACAAGATTTTTGGTTGCAAATTTTTAATTGCTAAATTAATATGTTTATATATATCTGTTCTTTTTAGATGCTAAAAGTCTGGCAGAGATGCTCATCAGGTGAGATGGTTTTATTGTGTCTAAATATAAAAGTTATATTTTCCCTTAAAGTCAGATCTTTCCACTTTCTTAAACTCACAGACGATCATCTATGCTTATCTTGTTTCTTTGAATTAGTAAAAACAACCGCAGCTTTGACACACCAGTGAAAGGACCTCCTCAGGGCCCACGGCTACACATTGACATCCCCAGAGTGCAGCTGCTAATTGAGGACAAAGAAGGCATCAAGCAAATTGGTGAGAAAAAAAACAGTGTGATGGTTGTGCAATATTAACATAATTACTGCATCAAATCAGTCAATGGATGAAATATTATATAAACTGAGATAATTAAGTTGGCAGAGTTATGTTTATTTTATCTGTTTTAGGAGATGACAAGGCTACTATTCCTGTGACAGACACAGAGTTCAACCAAACTGGGAATCCTCAGAGCTTCTGCACTGGTGTTTCTGTCCATCACCCTGCCCTCATCCAAAACACAGGTCCTTTGATAGACATGTCTGACATCAGACCAGGAACCAGTATGTGTTCTTCTCCATCACTGTTCATTTTAACAAAAACCTCTAGTACAAATGCAATATTTATCATAAAGTAATTGGTGTAAACACCAACTGTGAAAATTTCTGCTTTTCTTCTCAATTTCTGGTCACATTTCAACTTTTTGTCACGGCACTGGGGACAAATATTGGTTCACAAAGTTAAATTTCTCTTGGATTGTTTTTTTCTGTTAATGTCCATCTATTTTCTTTACTGTAAATTCAGTCTGTTTATATGAGTGTGCCATTTTTGCCACCAGACCCAGTGTCACGGAAGAGTGTTAAGTCAGCCCACAGCATCAGAAACCGATACTCCAGTCAGTGGACTCTGACCAAGTGTCAGGCTTCTACGCCAGCCCGCACTCTCACTTCAGACTGGCGCACAGTTGGTTCTCAGCATGGCATCACTGTCACAGAGAGTGACAGCTATAGTGCCAGCCTCTCACAGGACACAGGTTAGTACAAGCATGAAATGACACTTACAGCCATTAACATGTACCACATAAACTGTGTAGAGGACTGGATGCTTACAAGCCTGGACAAAATGTCCCTTTCCTATGTCATAGATAAAGGGCGCAACAGCATGGTGTCCACAGAGAGCGCCTCCTCCACCTATGAGGAACTGGCAAGAGCCTACGAGCATGCAAAGCTGGAGGAACACCTGCAACATGCCAAATTTGAGATTACAGAGTGCTTTATATCTGACAGCTCATCTGATCAGATGACCACAGGTACCAATGACAATGCAGACAGTATGACGTCAATGAGCACACCATCAGAGCCCGGTATCTGCCGGTTCACTGCCTCACCACCCAAGCCCCAAGACTACGATCGTGGCAAGAATGTAGCCGTGCCCATTCCACACCGAGCCAAGAGTAAGTGGTAGCTGCATAACACATTTTTGTTGGTCTGTTTAAAAATAGTATCAAAAAAAAAAAGTCAAAAAGCCTTTATTGTCATTATATTCTGTGACAGATACAATGAGATTTGGGACTTCCATAACAGCTACCGTGAAATAAAAATAAAATAAAAATATATAAAAAATATATAGATATATTAAAAGGAAAGGAAATGTAAACAGTTACAAAATATATATATAAATATATTAAAGGAAATGTAAATCCGTATTTAAGGTCCACATACTTTTAGTAAAACATAAAAATCTTAAGGTACCGTTTGTCATGATGGGTTTCAGAAAAGCCCAGTATGCAGAACACCACGGAGACAGATGAAAAGTTTAACAAGTTTTATTGAGCACAAGCACATGGAATAAACTCAGGAGCTGGTTCAGGCCTGGGGGCAGGTTCACTGGAGTCTGTGAGGATGACAGTTCAGTTAGCTTGGAAGCAGATGAGTTTGAGTTTGAGAGTTTCAGGTTTATACCTTGAGGAGTCCGGGTTTGGCTTTGAGAGAGGAACTGTTGGGTCCAGAGACTGTTTAGTTCAGCAGAGTCCAATAACCGCTTTAGCGTCTTACTTCTAGCGTGAGGGCAGACCTTGGCTTTGGGTTTCCAGCTCTTAGTCCAGAGCTGCATGGGAATCCAGAGAAGAGTCTTCAGGTTTGGCTCAGAGGGCAGGCTCGGCAGATTAAGCTCATCCAGAGCTTACAAGGGAAAACTGGATTCCTGAAAGCAGAGGCAAAAAGGGATTAGAATCCAATCAAGAATCAGGAGCAACAAAGGTTCTCAGAAGAAGCTAGGCTCAGGTGCTAACCAAACTGGATTAAACACTGCGGCGTTGAGGCAAGGTCTGAAGGCAGGTTATATACTGGTGGATCCTCTGATGATGAGATGCGCCTCAGGTGTGTCGAAGGCTCAGCTCAGGAGGATCCACGGCGGACTCTGCTGGAGAAAGGTGGAACTTCTCCAGATCCCAACACCGTTGTTTTGTTGAAAACAGACACATACTATATAATAATGTAGTATGCAATGTCTGTCAATGTGCATTGCTTTTTCACAATAATCATAGGCATTGAACATATATCACGATACAAAGTCTTTGTTTATTGATTAAAACTGTTTGTGATGTAGCCAAACCAAGTAGCAATGATTGCATATTAGTACTCTGGTAAAGGTAAAAACACCTTTACGGAAGTAAAAGTAAAAAAGTATAGCAACTTGTAGTTGGAGTACTGATGTTCAAGGAACTTGGACTTCGTGAGCACATTCAGTGTAAGATGCAAATGAAATCCCACCATCAACCTCCTGGGTTGTTGGCATCTGCTTAGGAGGATGAATATCCATGTTTCTTAAAACATCAGAACTGTAGATTGCTTCAGGGAGAGTGGACAGGACTGAAAAAGACACTTGGATAAACGTTAAAATGTGTTTAAAAAAATTGAGTGAAACACTGGTTGCCTCCCATTTAAGACTGATTGACTTAGCATTTACATAGACATAAGGAAAGTATAGGTTCTAGTTTTAATTAAAAGACTTTTGTCTTAATTGATTAAAATTACTTTTTAAAATTTTGTTAAAAAAACTTTGATGCACATTTTTTTTCTCTCTTCTCACTCTGGCGGTTGCTTTTATTCTAGACTAACATATATATTTTTAGATTTCTTCTATTAAAACATCAGACAGAATTATGTAGATTGAACTAAACAGAAGTCTAACATAATTAGTTTACTAAAGAGCTCTGGTATTCACATAATTAAACTTGCAACTTGCTTTTAAGATGAAATAAGACTTTAAAAACTTTTATCATGCAATTTTAAAATCTACTAAAGCGGGAATGGATGGAGAATATCTTACTTCTCAGAATACCTTTATCTATGTCAATGCCTACTGAAGTAAGGAAGCTTGTCAAAATGTATGCTATGTTGAACATTACTAAAAAAGATGTAAAAATAAATCCCTGGGTGGCAGCTAAGGTCTCCTTGTGTGGTACAACGTCCCTGAAGCTAAAAGTACACTAAAACATTTTAGCAGTAAATCAATTTGGGTGAGAATTTGTGAGAAGATTAACAAACTGTTGTTGATAATATATTGAATTACTGTAGTTCAATATACACAGCACTCATTGACCTTTGCTGAAACTACGGCTGCAGAGAATTAAGTTTGCGTCTAACTGCTTAGTATAACTTAAGACAGTGAGATTAGTTAGAGCAAATAAGTTCAATGGGTGTAAGAAAATGCAATCACAAAAAGTATTTTAACCCTGTATGATTTTTAAGGTAAAGTTTATATATTTATATTTTGATATTTTTCCTTTCCAGGTGACTACTGCAACCTTCCCCTCTACATGAAGTCAGATCCTTTTTTCCGAAAGCAGTCAGAACATCATGACCCATGTCCAGTGGTTCCACCACGCGAGGCCTCTATTCGGGGTTTGGCCCAACGGGCATACCACAGCCAGGGCCGTCACGTGACTATGGACTCTACAAAGCAGCAGGCTCTGGCCGTCGGCCATTCCGGGCTTTCAAACCTCACTTCTTCTGGGGCATCCTCTGGAGGAGCAACAGGAGGCGGCGGTGGAGGAAGTGGAGGGTTGTCTGCTAGCTCCAGCAGCTCCACCCTTCCCCAGCGGACTCTCACTATGCCTAGCTCCTCTGCCTCTGCGGCTCAGAGTGCTGCTGCCGCTGCTGTAGCCACTGCTGCTGCAGCAGGAGCATCATCTTCCTCTGGCGGTGGTGCAGTAGGGGCCACAGGTGGAACTCCTGGAGGAGCATCTTCGTCCTCCTCCAAAATGGGAGGTTCTAGAGACTCTCTCCTGGAGAGCAGCTCTTCGGGATTAGGCAGACTACAGAAGCAACGGGATGGGGCATCAGGAGCCTACTCCAAGTCCTATACACTTGTGTAGTCTGCCATTAACGAGGCCTGTCACTGTAACTCTAAACACATTGCTGGTTAAGCCAGCGCTTGCCTGGAGCCTCCATGGTGAATCGGGGTGAAGAACATACACATGCACAGCTTACCCGTCAGTGCCTGTGCTGTGCCAGCCTGCAAGGAGCTGTATGGGCTCCCTTTAACACAACTGTTTAATGGGATCAGAGTTGGGTGTCCACAGCACAGGGGCTTGCCTTTCTTTCTGCCTGATTGTTTTCTCTTATATTTGTGTCATTTCTCTCTTTTTTTACCACCCTGGAAATCACTTGCCAAAACAAAAATGATTTATCTTTTCAGTCCATATTTTCATTTTCTGGCAAGGACACAGAACTTATGCACAAAATGCTTTTTAACTTGCACTGTCTTGCTTCCCATAACAAGACAGTTGTAGATTTAACCAGGTTGCTTACAGTGTGTGTTAAGGTTTAATATTTTCTCCTTTTTTTTTTTTAAATATATAACTTTTGTGTTCTCTGATGGAAGATAAGTTCATATCTCAGCATTGTGCCATGGCAGGATGCTTTTGCTGTATGCACAAACCACCAGCCTTGGTGTTACTTTGGCTCTGTAAGGTTAATCCATCATAGATCCATACATTAGAGGTGGTGGAACAACTCTTGTTCTCTTGTACATGCAATGGATGACTCAGCATTGTGGTCATATTTGAAGTTTTTTATAGAGAGACCTATAAAAGAGACGGTAAAAATTTTAAGCATCGTTGAGCGAATTCTAGATACTTTTCCCCCTAAAACGTTTAATATAATACTATGTGCACTACGAAAAAGTTAGAATGGATCCAAGTAACTGAAACGTCACAAGCTTGTGGAGATATGTATGTGTGTGTGTGGGTGTGTGGCTGTGGGTGTGGAAATATATGTGTAAATATATAAGTGTACATGTGGCAGGAACACACCAACAATGGACCTTTTTAAAATCAATCTTTATGCTGAATTCTTGGGCAGAAGTCTGTGTGGAAACAGACCCCCCCCCCCCCCCCCCCTTTTTTTTTTTTGTACCTATGAAAGTAAAAGTCTGGTAGTGACAATGTTGACACTTCCACCCTATTCAAACTTGAGTTGCTCTATTTTTTATTATTATTATTAGATTTGTTTTTTGTTTTTGTTTTTATTCATTGTTTTCAACATGGTATGGGTGATCTATAGAAATGCTATGAAAAGGAAGAGAAGGGCCATAAGCTTTCATTGGAGGACAAGAAATACTGTGCCTTGCAAAAGTATTTACAACTCTTGAATTATTTCACATTTTATCAGATAACAGTAGCAAACTTTAATGTATCTCTTCACAATGTTATGTGACGGACCACAGAAAGTAGCACAAAATTGCAAAGTGAAAGAAAATTTCAAGTGCTTCACAGTTTATGTATAAAAACCTCAAACGTTCACCCCACTTCATACTGATACACTTAAATAAAATCCAGTGAACCCAATTGCTTTTGATAGTGACCTAATATGACAATAACCCATTTGTGTATCATTTGATATAGGTAACATGATTTTTTTTTTTTTGAACAGATGTGTTAGATAACAAAAGTAAACTTATGGACTGAAGACCATAGTAGACAGACCAGCAATAAAAATCTTTATTCTCACATGGAAAAAAGGTGTATGACACATCTGTAGAACTACCAAGATTAAAGGTATGAAAGAGGATTTTACTCAGTAATTAAGTGTCCAGATTAATCTAAAATGACTTAATTGATGGATGGCATTCTTGCACTTATGATTCTCCCCTAAAACATTAGCCAATATACTTTGCCTACTGTTAAAAGTGAATTGGCTACTTTTTGGTCAATCAAACATTTTGCATACGTGCCGCCATGACGTTTTTAACGTAGGCTCCAAGCATAACTCAAAAGCTGTTAGGCTAGCAGTCCGCCATTACGACGAAGAACATAGAAGTACCCCTATGCTTGTTTGCTGGTGCGACTTTTTTTTTTTTTTTTTTAAAGTAAAAAATAGAGGTGGTAGAAGTAAACCGTTATAAAATCCCACCCCCATTTTTGATTATTATTGATCAGTCAAACTCACTTAACCATTCTTCTTTCCTAGACCAAAAAAATATATAATAATAATAATAAATGTGTTATAGATAGCAATTTAACAAATTGCTATCTATAACAAACAAGTTCAACCAAATATCAGAACTAGTTAAATAATCATTGGTAAATAATAGGGCTGAAACAATTAATTGGGTTAACTGTGATTAATCGATTATTGAAATAATTGTCAAATAATTTAGTAATTGATTAATTGTTTACTGGAGTTAGAGACTCTAAAACATACCTTTAGCTGACAGAGAAACCCACTTAGAGCACTCACTATTTCAAAATTGTCTTTAAGATAAAAAAAAAGGTTTTCGTTTGTTAATATGTACTCTTTTGTATAAACTGGAGCATCAATCGCCAAAAAGAATCCTGACAAACCTAACTTAAAAAGAAAGACTTTATTCGATGTAGTTGAAAAGAGGAGAGAAAGTGGGAGAGGATGAAGTTGGCTCAGTATGTGTTTAGGAGAATCTTTTTCTATGATTGCGTGCCCTGAAGAAGCAAAAGGGTCTTAAAATAAACGCTTTGGTCACAATACTTCAGCTGGACAGGTAAATTCCGTTTAATTCCATGTAAGCACTGTATTTTTTTTAAACTATGAAACATGTACAGTCAAAAACGTGCATCCTGGCACTCTGCTGCCTCTCTAGGTCAAATACAAAATAACCACTGATGCATGGGCACGATTCAGAAATACAAAACCAACCGTTGGACATATCTTCCACCACAGAATCCTCTTTCCTGCCTTAAAGCATTAATCAGAGAAGTAGGCAAAAAGGACCATGGCAACTTGAAAAACTGCTGGGGCATACACCTCAGGTGTGAGTCCCACAAATTTAGTCTTTTATGATTAAGGGATAGGAAGACAGCCAATTTTCAAAGCAAGAAATAATTCATTATGGTTAGTTTGTAGAAGTCTTTGAGGAAGAGTGTTGATTTTGGATGATCTCTGCAAAATAATATGTGCAAGAAAACTAAAATTGCACATCAACCCAAATACAAAATTCCCAGTAATGATGCGGTGAGAACAGTAACTTTAACACAAGCTGCTTGTTTATGGGAAGTTAGATGAAACTGAGTACAGATCCAACCTGGCAGAAAACCTGGAACAGACTAAAAGATAGATGTTCTTCCCAGAGGGCAACTGTATTAAGCATTATAGTAAGAGATAGAAGGGAATAGTTTGGATTAAACCATATCATGAATAAATGTTCAAGTTTTTATGTTTGTAATTCATAATGTGCATTGCTTTGTGTTGGTCTGTCATGGACAATCCTCCAAAAACTACATTAAAGTTTGAGATAGCAACTAATGTGAAAAAGATAAAGGAGTATGTATATGTTTTTCAAGGCATTTTAGAGTCATTTTCACTTACTTTACTTTCTTCTGAACAAACACAGTGCACAATTGCATAATTTCTCCATCATCATACTTTCCTTTTTCCTACTCCTCTTTCCTCATATCATACTGTATCACCCAACATATCCATACAGTGTCACTGTGATGTACTGCCAGCATGCTGGCTAGACAAAAACAGACCAATTGAAGAGGAGGTATCTTATATGCACAAATGGGTACAAATTCCTAACATTCAATGACAGCTTGAATGCACACATTCAGCAGATTTTTAGAGAAATGTATTTGTATGATCTTTAATAAATGAACAAGCACTGGAATTATATACATTTTGGACAGAATATGAAAAAATTGCTCAACAAAATGTTTCAAGTTGCTTCACCATTTTGAATTTTGCATTTAATTCTATGACTGAAACTTTATATCCTGTTTTCTTGTTTTTCATTCATCATTTTTAATTCCAAAGCTTGCATTGTCCTAACAATTATCCTTCCAAAATAAAAGAGTTGCTCCAAAGTTTCACACCGATAAAACATAACATCAGGGCTCTCGCAATAGAAAAAAGTAAAAGATATCATATATGTTTGTTTTCAAAAAGTATGTACATATATATTTCTATTTAAATATATAGCAAATATATGAATAAAGAGAAGAGACATATAAAAGCCGTTCTAATTGAAAATATATATAAAAAGATCACAAGACAATCGCTCCGAGTGAATATCACATTAAAGACAGGAAGAAGGAAGGTTTAAGCAGGTGACACACCTGTGGATGGAGGATTGTGGAGAGAGAGGAAGTTGTGTGAAAGTTAGTGGTTAAACTGGGGTTTGAGAATTGAGACTTTAAGTCCCATGAGATTTTGTAAAAACAAGCACAGTAAAGTGAAAATATAGTGTGAGATTTGTTGCTGATTTATTGTGGTCTCAGACCGTGCAGAAAGTGTGTTGGAAAAGAAAACGGTTAAAAAGGAGAGCATATAAAGTAATTGAGCCTCTTGTGTTTTGTTGTATTGTACCTTACAAATAGTTGTGACCACAGACTCAGCGCCACCACAAAACTACAGCCAATGAACACAAACAGATTGAGTATTTCTGCAGTCCTGTGACAATATTACTGAGGATAAATGTAATAATCTTTTTTATGTACTTTGAAATCTGAGATTGATATGTTCATTTCTTTATGTAGTGTTAAAATGCATTTTCTTTTGGGCCTTTCCATTTTAAGTTATGCAAACACCTGTCCTGGGAAAAATATGGGTTTCGGCAAGGATTAAGCCTGTTTTCTGCATAAGGGCTTCCTTAGTCCATCTGTATGGTATTGGTTGGACTGATGAAATAAACTTCTAACCCACATGCTTTCCCTTCAGTTTTTAGTCAGTTTGCTCTAAGTGTAATACTTTTAAGAGAATTTCAACCTAATTTCTAAAGAGGAAATTTATACTTCTATATCTAATCCATTTGATCTCTCAGATTTCAAGATCTTCTTTCAGAATGTTCTTTATCAGTAGAATTTGACAAGTTCTCAGAGACAGAACGACATTTTTGTTAAATTTTTTAATAAATTATATTATACCAGGCTATTAATTAATTATTTTAGAGTGTACTGAAAATAAAACATGGAACTTCAATGATTTGAGTGAACATGTTTACATTTATTGTAAACTTTCCTTAACCCACAGACATCAACACTCTTTAGTATAATTGTGGGTTTATATTTGAGTTTATTTAAAATGCCTGATTATCTGGCACAGTCATCCTTTAAGCAAATAGCATTAATGGGTTAAGATCACAACAATTCTTGATACTTATTAGCCAAGTTCTCTTCAAAACCATGTTTGAACTGTCTCTGAGAAAATTATACTGTTGAAACACACAAATTGACTCCTGTTTCAAATATCTTACCCAGAATCTTACCACGATGAGTTAAAGACATGTTTAGTAAGGTTCTTTAAAAGCTACATAAAAACTATTAAGGATCAGAGCTATCATAAACTAGAAGATGACAAAAAGACTCTTTTTACGATTCCTAGATCGTCCCAGAAGTGTGATATGAGTCTCATCCAGGAAACCAGCAAATAAAAATAAACTCTAAAACATATTAAAAAGAGAGATATAAAGTATCTAGCCAAAATTTCACTTATTGTGGTTTAGTCTTAGAAAAAATACAGGTTTCTCTGCAACTTTCTCTTGATTATTTATACAGATATTAGTAGTACGTCAATTTTAATGTTTGAATCAGAATAAGTCATTTAGCCTTGTGCAAATTAAAGCTGGCCAGATAAAAGGAAACTTGAACACCCAGTTCAAATTGTTTTAAATCTTTTACATATGTTGTATAATCATTCCACCCTGCACAAATAATACTTTGAATAAATCATTAAATGGCCCAAATTAATATGAAATTATACCCATGATTGGAATTGTATTATGCACAACAATCTTGAGTGGGTTTTTGTTTAAAATAAGAAAACATACGTTCAAACTGACCTATACACAGCCTGTATATGTAAGTCGAACTTAAAAGGAATTTCTTTTTACATATATTAACCAATCAGAAGCTCTCCCTCATTCCCTCTCTGCAGCCTTGTACATAGGAAAAGTGTTTTGTATCAATGGATATTATTTTCAACATCTTCAATAGCAATGTAAACATGAAATACGGGCACAATGTAAACCAAAATACAGGTAATGTGATGAAGATTCAATGAAAAGGTAATGAATTACACTATTAACTGCTTATCCTTACTCTTGGACTAGATCAAAACTGTCAGAATGAACCATGCAATGTTAACTAATGATGATGTTTGGTTCTATTAGGCATTTTGTTGCATTGTTTTAACCTTTATTTTTGTATCTATTCCTGTTTTTACTTTGTCACAGGTCTTTCTTTGTTATACAGCTTTTTGGGGGAGGGGCAGCAGCATTGCATGTTCGGAAAAAAATTCTGGTTCTCAAAGAAAAAAGGGGGGGAAGGTAAATTGAACAGTTTAAAATGAGTTTTAATAATAAAAAAAACAAAACAGAATTTTTAAGAATCCAGCAGTTGTTCTTTAAACTTTTATTGGGACGTTGCATCAATTTACAGTTGCTTGTGTTTTACTCTACATTCTCTTTTCTAAAAAAAAAATAAACAAAAGCAGAAAAAAAGAGTGCAAAACCTTGTGCAATAAAGCTATCTTTTTATGAACTGTTATGATACTGTTTATTTTTTCAGCTTGATAGTATCAACGCTAAAATTACATCATAGGGAATTCAGTGTATTCTTTACTCACCTTGGATATATATTCTAGAAAATATTTATTTCTGTTTAAAGAACAGGAGTCCAGAAAGGAAGCCTATAGTAATATTGGCATTGCTTTTAAACAGTGTTTTCTGTTTTATTTAATTTAATCAGTTTTATTGGATAAAAAGACAAGTTTCACAAATTCTTATTGTTTTTCCATGTTGCAGACTTTTTTTTCTTCCTGTTTCTGCTTTTTGCATTTCAGAGAACCACTAAAACATGATCCTGGACCACTAGCACAAAATGGAAATTCTTATCATTTTAAACCTAATGTCAAGTCTCCACGAAATGATTTAAATTTAAGGAATTCTTTCCACTGCCATGAAAGACTGCACAAAATGTGTTTAAATCAGTCTAATTATACGTGGGGAGGATGTTATTAAAGCTGCACTACATTCTCAGTCCTGCAGGTGACGACAATTAGAAACCAAAGGCACCAATAGGTGTTTTCTGCCCAGCAATGTAACTTCTAACATCATGCAACAGTGACTCAGCTGAGTAGTGTATATATCAGTAACAACACTTCAGCACAGGCAGGGATGCATCAACAGTTGCCATAGTAAGTGCTATCCAAATAGTGTGGGCAGTAAGAAAGGGGGAAAGGAGAGGGAGCAAGATGCATTCTAAAGGTGAAAGGATAGGAACTAGAAACAGGAGGTAGGGGCTACAGTTTGAGGTATTTGGAAGGTGCCCATGAGAGTGTAAAGCACAGAGCTGTTGAGGTGTAAAAATGGAAGCGGTACTGTTGCTCCTTTATGCTCTTTTTAATTCTTGAGAAATCCAAGCAATTCCATTATCCTTATATGTGTTGAAGATGAGTGCATTTCTAATTTCCAGATTAACTCCCATTAACCTGTAAAACATTAAAGCTAAGGAAAACTATTCAGTTTTCCAACTTAAGTTAAATATTAACCCAACTGAGTTTTCTCAGCAGCAAATTTAATAATAAAATACACTAAACATGAAGCCTTAGATGTCCCCTGGGTAAATTACATCTGTGTTTGACTTCCTCTCACTGGTGAAAACAAGGCTAAAGAAAGAATATCCTAGGATTGTTCTCTAGTATCAAAAGCTTCAACTACCAAGCCACTTTGACTGCTGGAAAGGTGACTTAACTGTTTACAGAGCAGAAACAGGCCACTCCCAACAAAAAAATAAAGAAAAAACTTTATAAATGGTGCAGATATTAGAGTTTAACACAAAAATCCTATTATCAAATAACATTAATAAGGTTTTTGTGTCATAGAAAGTGTAATATAAAACTTTTCCAATTTTCCCTTTTCTCCTCAGAATTTAAAGTTTTACTCCAAGATATGTTCCACCAATCCTTGTATTTTAATACCAAATTTGATGAAAAACTATATAAAAAAGCAAAAAAAAAAATAATAAAATAAACAGAGAAACATGTATCAACTTTTTAAATAATTTATTATTTAAGTCCTGCAGTTTACAAGAAAAATATATTTTGACAGTTTTTTTTAATAACATTTATAAATTCAAAATAAAATTATTACAAATGACAACATGCTCAAAATACACATTTTAACAATACCCTCATTTACACTGCACATGAAAACCGTTCACTCAGATGCATACAATCTCATTTATTACATTTATTATCATCTTCAATACTTAATGTACAACAAGCAATGTTTGTTATGAAGGCTATTGCTTTATGTTACTGTTTATCTTCCTCTGACGTAATTTTAGGACTACTCTAGATTTCAGAATATGTTAATTTATTTATAGGCTGTTATGCATAACCTGAGGTGAATCCGCTCAGCATGCCTGCTTCTTCTTTCCTTTGAAAGTTGCTGCATCCACAACAGTGATCCTCTGCATCCGTCTATTTGTCATTCTTATGTTTCTTCTGCTGGAACTTCCTGTAGTGGCTCTGAATGGTAGAGGCAGCTTTTTCAACCTCAATGGGGCTCAGAGGAGGAACCAAAGGTGTGCCACATGTGCCATTGCTGGTACTGGAGCCTAAGCAAGAGAGGGAGCAAGAAAGTTGGAAGAACTAATGATTAAATTAAAAGGCTATGGTTATGTTTGTGTACTTATTGTGGCTGGGGTTTCTTGTAAGGTACAAACCGTCACAGTGGAACTGTACAAACAGGCAAGACATAAAAGAGTTTGTGAAACTTACTCTTTCTGTATACACCTATGCTGTTCCTCCTGTAGCCATCGAACTGCAAATGAAAGCAAATAGCTCTCTGTAAGAATGCTTATTGAAAGAAAACCCTCATATGATAGAGCAGATAAAAAACATAGAAAACTATCAGCATTAAAATGTTATCTGGAACTTCTTGTACACATTGTTCACATTGCTTAGATAAAGATCAAGAGATTGGAAAGGTTGTTATGTTTTCATTTGCAAAATCTTTGTTAAATTCTAAGAAAAATGCTTTGAACATGTTGTTCAGGTTTACATGTGGCATCTTATCACAGCAGCATCTAATCGTTGCATTTGTGCGACAGCTTATGCGTGCCCTTTTTTTCATCCAGAGCTTGAATAATGACCTCAACCACAAATCCTCTTGATTAGGATTACAGCTCAAATGGAGGTATGGCAGTGAAGCCAAAGTAAGAGAACTTGGACGACTTAGCATGCATGCCGGACCTAGAAAATTGGCTGTGTGCCGGCATTCAGCTTGCAGTGTGGTTTTGTGACATTACCACTAAGGTTCACACTCTGCTCTCAGAAAAGTTAGGGGGAATTATGAGTTTTAGACATTTTCTTGTAAAGTCAGGTTATTACCGAAGTAACTTTTAAATCACTCCCCTAAAGCTGCACCAAGGGTACTATAGAAACCAGCTGCTAGATGAACTATAGTCTCAGTTTATTAGACACAATATTTTGCACCTGAACTTTGATAGAAACATTATTATTTTATATGTTCTTTGAAAAAAACATTGTAGATTGTGTCTAATTTTTACATCCGAAGCAATGGTTTTTAAGGGTATTTGAAGGTTATTTCTGCCAAGAGCAAAAATAATCTTATATCAACTAAACATTACTATACTGCACAAACTAGCAGCCTTTATGTACACCAAAGCCTACTGGGGTACAATATCCAGATTTAAATAGATGATAGCTCAAATTATTATTATTTTTTTTAAATACACATAAAACTACATAGTGAGTCACTGTTGCATGATGTTTTTAAACAAACTTCACAGTTTGATCAACAGCATTTGAAGCCGCCTTTTTTTTTTATTTCTTAAAGGTCATGTGAAGGAGCTTGTTGTTTAGTGGTCATAGTATTCAGCTGAATGTTGTACTGGGGAACTTGTCTTGCTATAACTGTGGTGCAGACCCCTTCAAAAATAATCCTTCAGCTAAAACTTGCTGCTTAACTTTTAACATGCTCTGTCTTAGACACAGAAAGCTGCTACGAGTAATTCATGAAACTGAAACTGAACTTAAAGTTATTCATGAATCAGCTTTAATGAGTTAGAATGCCTGTTAAGACTAACCTCTTCTGCTTTGCTGCTCCTTCGGCTGTGAGACACTGAGTGAACTTGCCAAGGCAAAGGCTGAGATACCATGTAAGGCAACGGCTCCTCTTGCTGTGCAAATTGGACTGCAATCTAAAAGCAGAAAAGATTTAGGTTACAAGTTATATCATAATATTTCAAATAGAAAACACAATTTATCAGGTATGGTTTGTAAGTATGGTTTGTGTATTTTCTTCATTCCCTTGAAGTTTGGAAATGAAGCACCAGTAATTGAATGTTGAATTTTGTTGATAAAAGTCTGTTTTGACAAATCACAAAGATTTCAATGCTATTTCAATGATCGGGATTTAAAGTGACACCACTGACTGAAAGACAACACATAAGTGAAAGATTGCAGCCACACTGAAATTCAGTTCAGTAAGCAAACATAATTAGCTTACCGATTCTACAACTTTAACCATCACATACATGGCAGTTAGCATTGTGATCAACATCTTGACTTCTTTTGAGTCTTTAGTAATCCTTAAGGTCTTGGCTCTCTTTTCCCCTCCTCAGTCCAGCTAAGGAAAATTTAAAAGTCCGTGCAGAAATAGGTCTGAGCAATCAGGTATACAGTACAAGAAGAATTCTCAAGGGAAGGCAAGTGGAAGACAGTGTTGATAATGTCTCTCAGGCTAATGAAACATATATGCTTCAACCCTCCAGTCCCAGACACATAAGGGTAAGACTGCTAAAGAGCTTTGTAGGACAGAAATAGAGAAGCCATAATCTTTTCCTCTGCAGAGCACTTATCCCTCAGGTGTGCGTACAACTTTCCACTATTTGTGTCAGGTAAATGTTCAGGTGGAGCTTAAAAATGCAACAAAAAAAACCCCCCAAAACAATAAGTATTGTTTAATTATAAGGCAAATATTTTGGTACCCTCATTAAAGAAAAGTAATAGCCCCTTACAATGGCATATACATAAAAGACATGTATATGTATATATTTCTGACAAGCAGGGGTGATGTTAGAATTATATGTATATATACTACCTGATAAAAGGAATTTCTTTACTATAGAGTAGACTATTCTTATTAATTTAATGTTGAGCAAAATTCTAGTTATTATTTATCATGTCTATCTATGTATAAATATTTGCACACCCCCACTCACACATATATATACTGTGTCTAATAATGTTCACATGGTTTCAACAGGACCAGTACCTGTAATTCAGCCTCATTGGCTGCTTTCGCTTCAGTTGGCCACAAGGAGACACATTACTTTGCTAGACTCACACGACATATTCTGTGTCTAGAAAGAAAAAGTGTCATCCTGTATACTATCCATTTGTATCCGTGTGGTTATTTTGTTGCTGTAGAAAACATGGGAATTTTTATTTTTTATGAACAATTTAAAATAGATGGTCAAATACCTGGTTATTCAAATAAATGCAACATCTAACTGGATACTATGCACAATCTGAGGCTTAATACCTGCTCAGCTGTAACATCGAACTAAAGCAGATAGTCAAAGCTTAATCATTTTTTCTACTTTGTAATCATTTGCATGCTTAAAGTGCCTCTTGATTTAGGAATAAGATCTCCCCTTTTGGCACTCTCTCATGACATGCAAACTCCAATTTCATTAATTCTCTGTAAAATTATATGTTGTACCCACATTAAACAACCCCAAATAATATATTTTATAACAACTCCCATTTAAGGTCAGGAAAAGATGAGTTACAGAAAAGAGAAAAGATTTATGTCAATTAAACTAAGCAGCATCATACAGCTCTGTAATAAGAGACGTGCATTTTCCAGTGACACATGCCAAAGTGCGTCATTGTCTCCAGCCTCGTTACTGACGCTAAAGGGAGATGATAACTCTTTTGGCAAGTGTTTAAATACTTTTCAGGTCTGTGAGACTGCAACCTGCTGTTATCAAGATCAAATGTCAAGCCTGTAATGTGAGGAATTTTTGCCTAAGCAGACAAACTGTCTTCTTGCACTTCCTGACTGTGTTCTATCAGTATGTGTGGGGGTGTGTATAATCATGATTTCATTCTTGTGCATTTAGAGAGGAGGGCAGACAAGTATTTTATCACTAAGCTGACAGGTATAAATGAACTTGTGAAAGGAGAACCAGATGTCTGGACTGTTTTTATGAAGCAGATGCACAAGAAATAAGAGGTAAGAATTGTTTGATTTCCAAAAGATATTGTTAGAAATGAATTAACAATTAAGAATACAATGCAAAGTAATATATATATATATATATATATATATATATATATATATATATATATATATATATATATATATATATATATATATATATATATATATATATATATATATAAGGTCCATAGGCAGTTCTAGAAAAACAAAGAGCAGAAATTAAACAACAAAAGGATGGTTTAACTGGGATTTTAGAGTAATAAGTAATAAAGTACAAAAACTCTCCAAACTTATCAAATATTTCTGTAAAAGTACCATCATCTTGCAATATTCTTTAAAAGTTTTTGTAGACTATTTTTTACTCATTTTTAATATACTCTTTTAATAAAGAAAATGAAGCTTTAAAAGTGCAAATAAACGTCCATGTTTTCTTCTGATACTTACATGCATGTATCTTAGGTAATAAATCAAATACTAAAGAAAAGCAGCTCAAAAACTAGTTAAACGTTGCTACATGTTCTTCTTTGGGTAACCAGTTTTTTTAGTTATCTTTTAATCTTTAGGTCAGGCTAAAATGAATTTGTGTCTGCATTGCATGCCTCTGTTGTAACAGATGAGAGTCGATTGTAGTAAAAATAAAAAAAAGAAAAGAAGTACATGCTCTCAGAGACATTCCACAGAGATAAAAGTCCAGTAAAACAGGTCACATCCATTAGTTTAAATTAAAATACATTTGATAATACATTGGGACCTGGCTGAAGTGTCATGATCATGCACACATTTCACATGGAAGATCTGTTTTTGAAAATCTTAATTTTTAGTTCAGCTTTAAGATCTCTGTTTTGAAACAAGAGCTTCTGATCATTGACCTAGTTTTCCTGATTTTAAATTGTTCTATTTAAACTTTGAACTGTTGTTAATAACTTGAAAACTTAGTAAACATTTTACCAACTTGTGGTTATTGCTGTGGCCCATTAATAGTTTTTTTATTTTATTTTACAGGATTCATGTCAGTTTTCCAGTCTTTGAGGATGTGCCTGATAAAGGAGTAAAACCTTATTCAAAACAGAGAGTGAGGAAACCCGGAGGATTTGTGATGTCTTCCCTGCGGGTTAAAAGGTTGAGTAGCAAGAAGAAAAGTATGTTTATTCAACATTCATTCCCTCTGGGGTAGCTCAAGCTAAGAATCAAACTGTTGTCATTAATTGGCTCTATTTTAGTTAGTTTGGGAAAGTCAGAATCAATTTTATCATAAAAAAAATCCTACCAGCTCTATTATTATGGAAAAAGGTTAGGATTGAAAGTGAATGGGTATTTTGATTATGGGCATAAAGACTTAATTAACTTTATATGAACTCTAAAACAGGCAGGGAGTGTGTAAAACCAAAAATATGCCTGTTTTACCATGAAATATTTTAACACGAAGGTGTATCTGGACAGCATCTTTTATTTTAATATGCTGCATTTCCACTGTTATTAATCGCAGCATTGACCCTTCAACAAAAACAAAAACATACTATAACAGAAACAACTGAAGTAAAACATCTACATATTTTATCATCCTCTCAAATGTAAAAAACTTTTTCCATTTTCAACATGAATGGTGCTTTTATTTTGGCTGAAAGATGCCAAATAATTGTATTTATCTTGTTTAGACTAACCAATAGTATCTCACTTTTAACTGTAAATGAACTTTATTTTAACATCAGGCTAAAAACATCAGGCTTCATTCAACTTTCTTAAGAAATATTAAAATGTTTCAATATCTCTGTATTATCAGGTCTATTGTACTTAACGCCATAGAAAATTATGATTATTTGCAATATGAACATGAAAATAACCATATAAAAAGCAAATGGCTACTTATCAACTGATGCTCACAAGCAGGCATAAAATATAGTATATTTGTCTGACTCTTATTTTTTAAGTTGCAAGAGAATGTAAGTTAGATTTTACAGTCAGAGTTGTTTATATATTATATATTATATATATATATATATATATATATATATATATATATATATATATATATATATATATATATATATATATATATATATATATATATATATAGAATGCACAATGCAAAATACAGCATTAGGGAAAAAATGGTTTATTAATTCTGCAGCCCTGTCTCTGGTTTCTTCAAATTTCAGTCTCTAAGGTAGACAGACCAATCCATTATTTTAATTGTGCTTGCCACAAGAAAAAATAAGGATGTTGTTACAGGTTTAATCTTGGGTTTACTGTTCAGACCATTAGGAGCAGCAGACAATTATTTACAGTAAGCTGACCACTTCTATAGCCCCAGATGACTGGAAATAAAATGATCTAAAATGCACAGGAAAGGAGGGAAGTGTTTGAATAGTATCACAGTAATATTAGTTGTTTTTAAGTGTTTTCATATTATTGGACTTTGATTTAAAAATAGCCAGCATGAATTAATGTACTGTTTAGTGTGTTGAAGCCAATTTCTCAGCAACAATAGTATTAGAACTTTGATATCTTTGGAAGAGATGTACCAAAAAAATGTTTTTACCAAAAAAAAAATCAGAGTAAATAGGGAATAAATGTTTATCCAATACCAATACCTCAATCCAATGTTTTGTTTTTTTTAGAATAGGATGTTGAAGATACATGTGTATGAATTAGACATGTTTTGATTTATATATGGTATCATCGACCATATATTTTTTATATCCTGTTCTTTATTGATAATATTTTATTCATATTGAGTTGTGCTTGTGATTGAACATGTTGCCTGCACTATAAGCTCACTAAAACTGGTGGGTCTGCAAAACAGTATGTTTGTGTTTAGTGACCAATATAGCAATACAGGTCAAATTCCTGAACTTCAGATTTCTAAACTATACCAGTCATATCATATGAAATTGTCAACAGTTGATAGCATAGTTTTTATCCTGCCCATTCAGCAATGGGAGGATTATATGTTAGGACAATCAGGTGTGCAATAAGGGTTCAATTGGGCACAGGAGCAAAAGCTAATCTCTACCACATGAATAGCTTGGTCAGTGTCAATAATGAATTCAGTCATCCATCTATGAATTGTTTTGACATATACAGTAGCTGTTGTGTGGGCACTTATTCAACTAAGGAAGCCCACTTAATGTTTTTTCTTGAATTGAAAAGGGCTAACATGGTTGCTTTAATTTTCAAAATTAAAATAGTTTTAAACTTGCAAAGATTTATGAGATATTGCATGAAAAAAATTCAGTGACAGTAATGAATGACTTAAAAGAATAAGCAGGTTGATCATAGAGCTCAAGAGTTGAGTGTGATACACTTCTATATTTCCTAATAATTAACTTTAGTCCATGTTTTGGATTGGAGCATCTTTTGTAATTTGTTTATACACAACAGAAACAATATTTTACACTAAATGTAATTTGAAATGATATTGAACATATGTAAAACCTCAATCAAGAGAATTTATTCAAATTATGTCCTTTTGATTACCTATTAGAAAGCATTTTTTAAATAAATGTAATGATATTATTCAGTTTAAATTTGAAAAGTTACAAATTCTTCTAATTTATAATTCAATTTATAATATATTCTTTAATAAATAATAATAATAAGTTTTCTTTTTTGTTGTTTTTTTGTTGTTTTGTTTTTTATGGAATTAGGACCTCAGACGGGCAATGCAGTGGCAGAGACTCTGCAAATGCTTGGCCTGGAGGCCTACAGCACAAAACAACTTGACTCGGCATCAGTGTTAAACATCACTACATGGGTTCTTGAGAACAAACAACCTCTTGAGCTTAAGGATTTACCAAATGCTTTTCTTAGACGTCTTTGGCTGCTCAGTGAAGATGCCCGGAGCTCATGTTGCCAGCCTCAGGTTGACCCTCTAAATAGTAATGGCAAACTACCTGAGGAAAACCTCTGCAGCTCTGAGGAAAAGATGCAAAGAGCAATCAACCCCCTTGATCTGATCACATCTGTATTTTTATCCGCTGACACATTTCTTCAACAGGAGATAACTGTGCGCATGATGCAATGCAAGTTTGCTGTGCCTTTAGTCCTACCAAATGCTGATCCAGAAAAGCCCAGTCAGTTTCTTCTTTGGCCTTCAAGAGGTGTTGTGGGGCAATGGAGATCTCACTCTATGGAACAAAACAGCAGAATACAAGACAGCAATTTGGCAAGCACGCCCATGCCAATTGTTTCTTGTGTAAAGCTTGGCAGATGCAGTATCTCAAAGTCACAGGTACTTAACTATGTTCTTAAGGGGCCTAAATCAAGCAGTGACACATTCATACACAGGGACATGGATGGAGGGCAAGTTCCCCGAAGAATCGCCAACGGTCTAGTGGAAATTGGATGGTACCTCCCCACTGGAGTAATTGACATAGATGTTTACCCCAGCCCTTTTGTCATCTGCAATTTACGTGGTGATGGCAGCAATCATGAGAGTTGTCTTAAACTTTTGTGTCAAGCATCGTCAGCTCTTATAATCTTATGTGGAGATTTTAAGGAGAAAGAAATCCATCTCCTAAAATATTGCAAAGAAATGGCAAGTAAACTAATCCTAATTGATGTGCAGAGTACAGAAAGAGAATTGACCTCAATTACAGGATGTGTTGGGCAGAACCTTGAAGAGTATCTAGGGCTTCCCAACGGGGCTGTGATTAGAGGGAGTACTTTTAGTGAAGAAGAAGTTGCCAAGAATTTTTGTGAAATCCTTCAACATTGGGCACCAGATAATCTAAAACCTGTCACACTTGAGGCAGCAGCAAAATTAGCATTAGACTTGGGCCTAATAATGGATGAAGGCTCAGTCTGTAAGAAAGCAATGGCTACAGTGGAAGAAGTGCTAAAGGGGTTAGATGCAGGGTCAGTTGAATTTCAGCAGGAACAGCTGCCTTTGCAGGGGAATATGTGGAGCAAACTAGGAGATCTAGATAGGGAGGAAAGCAAACTGAGAAAATTAGGGACAGAACCTGAACCCCAACTTCTAAAAGAAAAAAAAGACATATTGGCAGAGTTAAGCAGTTACAAAATAAAGCCAGCTATGAAAATTTTTATAGATGCTCTTCTCACAAAGGACAAAATTGAGAGGAATTATTTCCTTACTTGGCTAAAACTGAGGCTTCATCTGATACAAACAGAAAAAATAAACAGGTCGCAAGAGTCAGGGCCACAAAAACCAAAACATCTGGAAAACCATGAAAGTGAACCTGTTATCAGTATAGATAGTGTAAGTTTCTGTACAGATTCACTATCTGAGGAGGAAGCGAAGGTAGAACAAGGAAACACTCAAAGGGAAAATGTCCAATGTGGTGAAAAAGTGCAGCCTAATTTACCTTATGCAGAAGAGTCTATAACAGATGTATCATCTACTACCAAACAACGATTGTACTGCAAAGAGTCCTTTGAAAATTCCAACGCCTTTAATCCACAGGGTCTTCAGCCAAAAACGTATACATTAAGCATTGAGCACTTTTTCAGAGAGATGGGTCTGATTTTTGAGTTTACACACATGAGTAAGGGTCAGAATGTGATGCGTTTGCCCAATCTAACAGCAGATCTACTTCTCTCTGGGGTTCCTTTGGAACTAATGGATGGAGATTCAGTAAACATCCCTATGTGCTGGCTTGGTTGCGTCTTTGCAGAGCTGAAACGCTGCCTACGTCAAGCGCAGTTAAGGACTAGAGTACTGACAGTTCTTGGTAACCATTATGCCAGAAATGCGGAAGTTTTATCAGGATTGTTTGGAGTTAAACTCCCAGAAGGATGGAGAGGAACAAACAAAGGGATGTATTTGGTTGTCCTAAATCTTCCTGATGATCTCCGAAAAGAATTTGATTTTGATGTTCTTTTTTTAACTGATGTGGAAGGCCTTGGCTTTGTCTCAAGAGAAATTAAAAAAGATACATTGATTCAGGACAACATAATGGCCACAGTTGCAGTGGGACTAAGTGATGTTGTACTCCAAAACATTTCTCCTCCTGCTGGCAATGAGTTTGAGACAACATTTAACATCATGGTCAATGCTCTCCTATGTGCAAAAGAACGCAGTGCATTCCCCATCTGCCAAATCCTGACCCAGGATGAGGGTATAAACTGTGTTTTACAGGCTTCACAATTAAGGCGTGTTTGCAAGATTTTACAGACTCAAGAAAAAAGTGATATTAATAATCTCCATGCGTTAAATCCAAACAGCACCACATTTGTGAGAGGACCTTGGCCCAATATTTGTCTTCCAGAAAAAGTTGAAAAACAATACAGTGAAGATGTGCTCAAACTTAAAGAAAAGCTATTTGGAGCTCTTAAAAGGAGTGCAAAGAAGTCTGAAGCCTCAGATTTTATTGGACGCTTGTGTGAGGTGTGGGAAGTAGTAAAAAGTGATTTATTCTCCCATAGTCTACAGAATATTGACATTGCTTTAGTCTTTGCTTTGCTCTGCATAGAATTTTCCCAATGGGAGAACAGTCTTTTGGAAAACATTGAGGACTGGTTAATGGGGGCAACAAAGAAAATATTTCTCACCAAGGCATTAGATGCTACTGCTCAAAATGTATCCCTGAATGAGTTGAAGAAAGAAGCTGGGGAGGAAGTAAAATCAGAAGTCAACAAATTCAAATCTAAAGCAGAAAGCTACATGACAACGGAAGAAATTCTCAAAGCAAACTCTAAGAGATTCTGGCCAATTCTACAGAACAACATAAGCAACCTCCAGGAAAGAGTAACTGAAGAGGTCATGCAAAAGTTAGACACAATCAATGAGTCGCACTGTTCTTTCTCTCAGATAAAAATTTTTGAAAAATCACTAGAAACTGAGCAGGAATTCAAGTTACTTGCACTAGTGGAGACAAGCAAATCAACCAATCTTCTTCTTCAAGATAATGTATTAGAAGAGGAGTTTGAGATTGTGTGGAAGAAAACATTGTCCAGTTTCGATTTCAGGCCTTCAGAAACAGATGACATTAGTGCAAGGGTGAGAAATGTTTTAAAGCAGAATCTAATCAGTCGAGACCTCCATAAACACATGCAAAAACTTGACGCTTTTGGCCAAATTGCGACTTCAACCTTCCAAATATGTGACGACCATTTTGGGTATCGCAGCCGAATGAAGCATATGTTTGAAGATAACAACAAACAACAGAAATTAGAAGCTCAAAGGGTAGCAAGCGAAATCATTGAAGAGTACAAACAGTTTACTGCTAATAAATGTAGCTTAGCAGCAGATTTCTCTGATACTTATATCACTGAGCTGTTAGAAATGATTGAAAATGGTTTGAAGGAAAAAACACTGGAAATCAGATCGGCTTTTGAAGTGGATTTAAAAATATATCTCTGTAATGCAGCATGCCAAGAGTTCCAGAAACTACATGACCGCTTTGCAAAAGACAGTGAATTGCTAACATATATCTCTGAAAACAAGAACAAGTATGAAGCAGAGTTCATTTACCAGTTTAGAAAACGAGACCAGTGCCACAGGGTGGCCAAAGCATTCATATCCATGGTCATCAAACCATTCGTCTTAGAATATACCAATCAATCACTAGGGGTGGATATAGCAAATGAGATTAAATCTAAAGCTCAACAGTATCAGTCTCCACATGCCTTCCAACGATACATACTGGAAGATCTGATTAAAGAAGACTGCTTTGAAAGGTTTGTAGAATATTTGGTGTCCTATGAAGACTTCAGACTAAGGAAGATTCAGGAGACAGTAGTTGTTCACCTATCTGATACAACTATTCTTAGTAGAACAAAGCAACAGAGACTTGGAGAAATTATAGGAAAGATAGCAGCTGCAATTAGTCAAACCGAAGAATGTACCGGGGGGGTGCTCAGTGATACGAAGCCACTGCTGGAACGAGTCTGTCTTATTTTGAGGAGAGATGTAAACCTTGAAGTTGAGAAAGAGCTTCTAAATGGCCCCCTCTTTAGCATCACAACAGAATGGGATCGCTTTGTCAAATGTTTAATTGAGCTACTTGCCACAATGCGTTTAGAACTTGGCAAGCAATTCAATCAAAATGTGGATGTACTTGGGGTTCTTGCTGACCTTCCAGTTCAGCCCCAGGACATCCTTCTTCAAACAGTAAGAGGCTGTGACAAAATATGTCCTCTTTGCAAAGCTCCTTGTGAGGAAGAAAAGATTGGACATGAGGTCCACAGCTCTCTGCTCCATAGACCCAAAAACCTGCTGCCTCATGACCTCAGTTCTCCACCTCATCTCAGTTGCCCAGACACCAGCAAAGACGCATATAGCAAATTCATGATATGCAATAATCTTAATTTCCAAGATCCAAACTGGAGAAATGGCTCTGATGACCTGAACAACAAGGCCAATATCTACTGGAGGTAATATCTGTGTTTATCATCCCTTGTTTTCCTTTAAGATAACATTGCATTTCTCTTATGTATATTTCTTCACCAACTACAGATCCAGTAACAAATATTCTGCTATCACATTCATAGGTATGTGTTGGTGAGATTCAATGACAAATTTGCAGCAGAATTCAAGCAAGAACAAGCAACGGTTCCGGAGGATTGGAATCAAATCACAATGGAGGAGGCATTGGACAGTTTAAATACAGTCTTTTCTAGACAAGAGAGCAGCTGAAATCTGACATCAGTTTATTTTTTTTATTATTTAAGTAATTAATGGAGTCATATCCATCCATAATACCTTTAATTAGTTTTGATTATAACTTTTTATTTTTAATGAAAACATGTAGATTGGTTTAAACTTGAATGGTATTTTTATATTCAATTTTTAAAGTTAAATATATTTTACATTGTTTTTTTTATCCTTCTCTCTTTATTATCATAAATAAAAACTAGATGGTTAGATATGTCACTGTACATAGAAAAAAAACCCCAACAAACTTAAGCACACTTTCAAAATGTGGATTGGTGAGTACTATACTTTTTTGCCAGAGGTTATATAAAAAAAGATTTTAATTACATTAAGTTTTTGTAACTTTTACATTTTTTATGTCTTTCTTTGTTAAATAATCATCTGAATGATAACTCTTTACTTTATGTAACTTTTCAGTCAATTTGCTGTATTATGGTTTTGAACAAATGTATTTCATTTTCATGACTTTACTTGTCTGCTATAAGTATAATTTAGATGTTTCACATTTTTGCAGCTTGAAATAGTATATTGTTTAATTTATGCGGATTTTCATTCATTCCCCTCAATTTTGTATTAAAATCAAGCATCCCAATAGTGACAAGAGTAATACAGTACTACCTAAAACAATAAGAAATTACCTGCATGTTAAATAATATACAACATAAAAACCAAACTTAACTGAAACCACAAACTACTAAATAGTTGTATTATCATTGTCTTCCTCGCTTTGGATTTCGTTTAGATTTGTTTTAATAACATTTTGCTGCACTGTGCTTTTTTCTCAATGTAACCTCATTTAATGCTATTTGTTCGATAGTTATGTGAATATGTTTACATTCTCATTTTAACGTCTTTAATGTTTAAATGTAGTTGTGTTAAGTATTTTGATCTACAAGGCTTTGTAAAACTAACATTATAATTAAAGATTGATTGTAACATATGTCATGGTACTTCGCTTGCTTCTTTTAATGTCGTCTGAAAACTTTAAAAAAATTAAAGATATAATTTTTTTATTTGTTCTGCATAAAAAGCTCTATCTATAAACAGTGACTTGAGAAATTAAGTTACAGATAAATGTCATAGACTGTTTAAAAGGCCAGTGATTTTAGTGTATCATAGAAGAAACAAATGCTTGGTTTAAATCCACAAGAGGGCGATGTAAGCTAAAAAAAAATATAAAAGTCATTAACAGCTCTTGGAAAATATTAAAACAAACATGGAAGAGAATGTATCACTATCATGTCTCCAAACCTAATGCATTATTATCTGTGAGCATATTTTTATTTACTGTTTATTAAAAGAAATTAAATTAGACATATTCAATTAAAATGTCTGCTTATTTTAAAGGTTCAAATTAAATGTTATGTTAAACATATTTCATACCAGTATATCTGAATAAAAAAGCTATAGCATTTCATTATGGCTTACACACCATTACTAAAAGCTCACTTGGAGGTCTTCTTTCTGTCCTACAAACGTTCTATTGATACAGAAAACAACAGAGACCAATATGGATAAAGGGACTTCTCTATCAAATCTCTCTGTGGTCTCTAACTTGTTTGCAGTATGTAGACTGTAGTAAAGGGTTATATTTAACGAATTAACCCAAAAATAATGAAAACTTAAGAAAAAAGTACTTTTCCAGTATTACTTTTTTCACTTGGTCCTATGTGAAGCTGTAGGTCTAAATGTAGGTCTAAATATAATGCTCTAGTTACACACTTATCAATACTTTAATTTGTCTAAGCTCTGAAACATTGTATTCTGTTACTCTCACACCTCAAATTAGCTCACAACTGACATCAATATCACAACCAATTCCATATATGGTGTTCATTGTTCAACCATCGTTCAACCCTGGGTCTGTCATAAATAGCCAGCCAACTGTCACCACATGCTGCCTGTGATACACAGTTTTACCCGTTTTAAATCAAGCGAGTGGGAGTAAACAGAATGCCTGATTACACAGCGACAGACGACCTGAAAATTAAACACATGATTTATCTTCTGCCTTCTTGTTTCCTTTTGTTTCTATTGGGATGCTTGATTTTAAAACCAAATTGGGGGGAATGAATGACCTGCGAAAATGAAAAATATACAATTTCATGGGTAGCCCACTTCTCCGGTGGAAGAAGTGGGCTAATTTTCAATTAAATATAAGAAAAGGCTCTGGCCAATTAAATAGAAAAGGTCATAGTATTAACAGTCAATAATAGAAGAACAATTTGCATGACAAATCACTAATTGTTATTGAAGATGAGAATAGCTTTAGCAAGCATGATTTATATGAAAAGTTTCTTATGGATGACCTACTTTATGTATGAGAATTTCATATCTCCTTTTTTGTATATGGTCCTGTAAGGCAAAGGACTATGGAGTTGGCAGTCATTATCTTTTACAGTAAATAAATAGGCCTTTTCTCCTGCTTTACCCACATCTCTTACTGACTACTGTATAAATCAAAGCTCTGTTTGTTGTTAATATATAATTTTTTTAGTATAATAATGATGATGTATTAGTATAATAATCTTGCTATACAGCAAAGCTTTAAAAAAACACTGTATATGGTAGATATACAGTATATCACACAGTAATAGCCTAGCTCATACAATCTCTGTCAAATAAAAAGTAATTAAAAAAGAATTAATGGGTGACTGCAAGACCCTAGAGCCAATCAATCTATAATATTTAATTTGGACTATCATGCATGTTTGTTTGATCTATTTCTGTTTTTTCTTCCTGTTTTTTTAAAGCAATGACACAATCTTAATTGAAATGTATTTGCTTAAGACCTGTGTCCTTATTACTTGGGGTGTTCTCTAAGTTAGCATATGTACGAAATCATAGGAATCAACAGCACACAACGCCTGAGCTAACAGAAACATCTGTATACTACAGCTCAAATAAAATCCTCGAACAAGATTTATGTTGTCACTGCTGTTGGGCTGATCTGGTAACCTGACTTCCAGAGTATATCAAGAAAATAAGACGGCTTCCAGCTGTTAATTTAACCTATTGAAAATGGACAATGGTGAACAACTATTCTTTAGTCATGGTGACGAACTTGAGCATTTGTAAAGCTGAAGCTTAACTGAGCGTGAGTTAGGAGCTTATTTACTTGCATATCTCAAAATTGACACTTTTGCCTGTAAGAAATTGGCTAAAGAAGAGATTAATACCTCTCTGGGCTTCATGTCACAGGAAAACAAACACATTGGCAAATGAACTGAGGCCTAATGGGGCTGCTGGAGCAGGGATATCTTTCCGACTCTATATTTGGGAGGGGCTTAGCCCCAGGTAAGATGCTTTACTGCATGTGTATTGCTTGCTCATAAAAACTGGGTGTGTCTTTGCCCCCCCACACAGCTGAGAACAGCAAAAACCACAGCACAGAGGATTTCTCTCTCTCTCCTTAAAAAACTGCCCAGGGGTTCAGATTGAAAGAGGACACCACCATGGAGACCCAGGCTCAGGGCCCAGATCTCCAGAACGAACAAGGCTAAGTCGTGATGAATGACGTTCTATAACCGAACTGCTACAAAACAGGCAGTTTGCAACATTTTTCTCTGAGTTTCAGAACTTGCGGTCGGACTGGAGGTGAAAGCCATCTAAAGAAGCCTTTTCCTTGGTGTGAGGCGCATGGGACAATGGACAACCCCTTACTGTGAGCCTGCCCTGCTAAGCTGCTAAGTGCTCGGGCAAACTCAAACTTTCCAAAACAGACAATGACAGAGGTTTGCAGGTCTGGCACAGTTAGGGACAGAATCTAGTTGAACAATATATCTTTTGATGATTTTGATCATTTCATGTGTTTACTGATGAGTAAATATAAAGCTAACAGGATGGATTGCATGCTATGCTATGCCACAATAATATTTTGAGCAGTTGTTGAAGCTTGTACAAGCTTATTTCACTAAGGGTTTAAACACTGATATAACATTCATGTTCATGTGTTCCTCATATGCTTATTACATTTCGATTACCAAGTATGACCAAAAGTCATCTAATGGAATCCTCATGTCTATTCTCTGATAGCGATTTCAAAGAGAGTAAAGAATCATTAAACTAAAGGTTACTGGTTCCTGATTAAGCAAATCCTTTAATAAAACATTTCAAATCGATCTAAATTAGTGAAAATCTATTTTAATCACATCCCAAATTCTTCCAGATAAACTTTGGTTTTCAAACACAAAATTCATCTTAAACTGTAATATGGTTTTCAACCATGTTTCCCCTTCCTCTTTGTACATAGTAGTTTTGCTAAGCTGAGTTTCACTAGTTTTAGTCAAGAGTTTTGAAATATGAAATAATTGAAATATGTTTCACTTGAAGCTAAATGATTTTGTTTATAAACTGTTATATTTTGAATTGAAGTTGTGGTGAACTGATTTCATGTTTGTGCAGAATTATCCGGTTGACCATGATTTCAGCACAAGTCACACTTTCATTTGTTGTTCTAACACACAGCCAATAGGGCGTGTGTTCATAAACAATATATGACAGTCTCAATGATATCTCATTAAAAAATATATTTGCCACCCCTCCTTGGGAGGGCATTAAACATCTTAAAGTATCACAACACCATAATTCATTGCGAGTCGAAGCAAGCCGGCTGCTCTGTGCTGAGAGGAAAAATATAAATGGAGCTGAACAGTGGTGAATATTGTAAGTGCAGTTTAATATAATGCACATATGTGAATAGCTCCATCTGAAATTAATGAAAATAGTTGTTATAAATGGTTATTGATTCAGATATGTAGCGGGTAATGTTTGGTTAATTGAAAGGTTTTATCTGTCCCTGTGCAAATGGGTATGGATGATATAGAAGCACAGATTTCAATATCTCTGCAGTGTGGGGACTATAAATATGATATGCACGATAACGGTACTATTGCTGAAACTCCTCGAAAATGTTATTAGCACCCAGAACAGTTATGAGAAATTATCCAATCTTTGCCTCCTTTGTGTGTCAACTGTCACTGTTGCTAGGCAACAGCGCATAGGTTGGTGAAAGCCAGAGAAGGCTGGACCTGTTGGAAACCATTGCCAAAACTCTTCCAGCCTCCTTATTTTCACAGACCTCGAATGACCCAGTCCAGGTAGTCCGGGTTCTTGCAGGATGCAGTCGCTGAAATTGAACACACCCTGTGTATGTAAGTGTTTGACTTACTACATACACTTATTTGTAGTTAACACCATCCCTACCAGAATAGTGTAATGCCTCCCAAATAATAAATCATGGAACACAGGTGAGCTATATACAGTAAGGAGAGAATGAAACAAAATGCGTCACAATGCCCTAATGGTGTCAGCCCAAGCCTCTCTGTGCGGAGCAGCTCTGTGGGATTTTACAGCACCCCTTTAGCCTTAGTGTGTCAAGGAAGGCTTCCTGGCTTGTTCTTTTTCTTTTTTTTTTTTTTTTTTTTTACTTTATTTGAGAAACTTACCTCTGCATTTAATTCATCCCCTTGGGGAGCAGTGGGCTGCTATCATGAGGTGGCAGTGTGGGGTTAAGGGTCTTGCTCAGAGATCTAGAGTGGCAGCCTGTGGGGAGTGGGGCTCAAACTCAGAACCTCAGGATTCCAAGCTCTATGCCCTAACTTGGCCGCCACTCCTGCCTTGTTCCAGTACCAAAGAAGACTCAACCAACAATCCTCAGTGACTAAAAAAGCCCTTATACACAACTGCATGAAGGTCCTAGAAAGACTTCTGTTTGTTCACTTTAGAAAACAAACAAGCAGCTATCAGGACCCCCTGCTGTTGGCTTCACACTGTGGAGATGGAGTTTAAGATACCATCATACACCTGCTTCAAAAACCCACTGTCATTAAGATAAGGCAGACAGCACTGTGAGGATCATATTCTTTTATTTCTCCAGAGCATTCAAAACAATCTAGCCTAACTTACTTTGTGAGAA